AGAGGGTTCCCTGGGCTGGGGGGTCACCTAGGGCCTTTTAAGCCAAGTCTTCAATATGCTAAGCCAGCATCTTTTTGTTGAGGCATCTCCGTCTCGGGTTTGGAGTTGTCGACAACGCCTTGTTTGCCGGCTTTGGGTCTCCATATTGTTTAGAGTTTCAGCATCCTTTTCAATTTTGGGGTTTGTCACTAGCTTCCAGGCTTTGGGTCAAGCAACATCTCTGCATCTCCGTTTTGGGTTTGGTATTTGTCAATAACAGCTTTTTTGCAGGCGCTGGGAAACCAGCATGTTTTTTCGGGTTTGGGGTTTCCCAACCATTCCTTTTGTTTAGGGTTGTAGCATCTCCGTTTTGGGTTTGGGGTTTGTCAATAACAGCTTCTTTGCAGTCGTGGGGAAACCAACATGTTTTTTCGGGTTTGGAGTTTCCCAACCGTTGCTTTTGTTTAGGGTTCTAGCATCTCCGTATAGGGTTTCGGGTTTGTCAATAACTGCTTCTTTGCAGGCTTTGGGACAACCAACATGTTGTTTAGGGTTTGGTGTTTCCCAACCGTTGCTTTTTTTTGGGGTTGTAGCATCTCCGTTTTGGGTTTGGGGTTTGTCAATAACAGCTTCTTTGCAATCGTGGGGAAACCAACATGTTTTTTCGGGTTTGGAGTTTCCCAACCGTTGCTTTTGTTTAGGGTTCTAGCATCTCCGTAGGGGGTTTCGGGTTTGTCAATAACTGCTTCTTTGCAGGCTTTGGGGTCAAGCAACGTCTCCTTTGATGTTTTGGCCTTCCCAACCAAAAATGTACTGGGCTGCCGCATCTCTTATTGGGTTTGGGGTTTGCCAATAGCAGCTTTTTGGGTCAGGCAACATCTCTTTTTAGGGTTCGGGGTTTCCCAACCGTTCGTTTAGTTTAGGGTTCAGCATCTCTTTTTAGGGTTTGGGGTTTGTCAATACCGGTTTGCAGCGAGAGTAGCTCGTGGGTCGGGCCTAGTGCCGGTTGTACAGTGCACAGGATTAAAAACAACCGTGTCTATGCGTGCAGAGATTACACCAACTAGCCCTGGTCACAGCTCATCCAAACGGGTGTTCCATGCCTTCGTGTAGCATCCAGTTGGTTGGTTGAGCCAAAGGGGCCAAATGCCCGGTGGACGCTTGTTTTTACTTGATGCCGAAAAGCAAAAAGTCTATAAGTGCATGGAAGATTATTAATGTTGTGATGAGTCGTGCACAGGAAATTTCAAACACGGGAAGATCGTCTTTCGCCTTCCAAGCAACATTCATGACACATCGGTTTGTTGAGTCCTTCGTTTATACTCGCCGTCTTGCCACTCTTCAAACATGACGGATGCCAGACAGCTCCCTTGCGACTTAGGCAGAGCACGGGCATCTGCGTTAGTGTGCAAGATAGATGTGCAGATGTTCGAGCAGCGTGAACGTGGTCGTGTATGCAAGTATCAGACTTCCACTATGGATCCTCATCAGGCCATTTGTTCAGCGCATTTTGTGCAATACTTCGTGTTGTGCTGCGGTGCTGGAATGCTGGAGGACGTCACACGGAATCGTCCACGAAACCAGGGGCCGAGAGAGCAAAACATGTCAATTGACGCTGGTGCGACCCAAAGTTCAGAGTCAATCTGCTGTACGTCACAGAGGCTTGACCTAAGCCGAGCGCTGGGTTTGTCCGTGCCCTGCCCTTAGACAGCCTCCCATGAGGCGCCATGGCCTCTGTCACGGTATGAGCGCCGAAAGACGGGATCTCGAGCCAACTCGAAGAGGCAAACCCCAGGTCAAGGGCTTAGACAAAGGCAGCTGTATTTTCAAGACCAAAAAGCACTTGAACGACAGAGCATGGAAACCCCGAGGAAAGCTGTGGGAGACAGGCACCACCAAGGTTCCCTAGCAGTGCCACTGAATGGTCACTACGACCACTCCCAAGCAGCATTCGGGAGACCACTGGTCTTGCCATTTCAGTTCAATTCATCTAGGGGGAGCCATTTTTGCATGTTCTCTATATATATATATATATACGTGTCGGCTCCAACAGCGCGGGATAAGAGGCGACAATTTAGTTGTCCAAGCTGCGCAAGACAATCTTGGAAGACGTGTTGAACGGGACCTTGTCAAATTTGAGTAGGGTCAACAACAGTTCACGCTGCGTGGTTGCAGAACAAGCAGGGCGATCTGCGTATCTTAGTGTGATGCAGCCATGGTGTATTTCGAGTGTGGATTGCCAGATGCTCAGAATTCAGCGATGTCTTGCCGTGTTGCGTGTAAATTCAGCAGCAGTCCCTGCTGGCAGGTGCAACGAAACGGCATCTCGATCGCGTTAAGGCAGTTGTGGGTACAAAGGAAAAGAGAGCCTGTCTCGCAGCCAGAGAAGTCTTGCTGATGACGACAGGCTTCTGGATGAACAGGTGAGCACACATGCACTTGCACTTAGCAGCGCTTTCATACACTTGGATGGGGTTTCGTCCCGCGGGTGCGACTGTACGATGATGAACGGCGATCTTGTCCTTGTAAGGATGCAATCGGTCTGGAAGTGTTGTGGAACTTCGATGTATAGCAAGCAAATCCGTGCGCACACATCGCAGGCGAGTTCAAGCCACCCACCAAGGTCAAAAAGCCAAAGCTGGCGCAGCACTTGCAAAGAAAGGGCCTTTGCGGGGACATGTCACCGTGGTCTTTGTGTCGGTCCCTGCAGTTGGATGCAAAGCTTGTGCTTTACAAGGATGTGGGAGTTGGACGGTGAGTTGCATCGATTGCTCCAAGGCGCGAATTCCGCAGCTTGTGTTGAAAATTCACACATTTGCTCTTCAGTGCAGGTTTTCGCTTGGGACGAGTGGCAATCACACACTAGCTGTGTATCAGAGGCACAGAAGTATCAGGCCCGGGAAACAGATCGCTTTTTCAATCTGCAAAGCCCTGTCATGCTTGTTTCAGCATTACGCAGAAACTGCAGCGGAGTCGGACCTTTGTGAGCAGAACAGCATTGCTTTGTCGCTGCCAGGGCAACCTTTTCCAGGCCAAAGAGCATATGCCCAAGTTGGTTCCGAGTAGAATTCGAAGAGAACATGCTCTGAGAGGGCAGAGTGCATCCAGACAAGAATGCCTTCAGGAGCAGCAACAAAGGGCAGCTGAAGCAAGGTTCTTGGGCCCGTGACTGAGCTTGCCGTCCGATTCTTCGGAGCCGGTTTGGTGACGGCTCTTGGTCTTTTGACTTGGATATCCAGGTTGATGGCGTGCGGCGAGCAATCGAAGATCCACAGACGGATGTTGCGCCACAGATAAGGCAGATGACAAGATTGGAAGGTTCTCTAGATTTTAGATGGACTTGCCATGACATGTTCGTAAAATGAATCCGGACGAGGAGCTTGGTGCAGAAGTTGCTGGGCAACCTGGTTGCAAAATATCGGAGTCAGCAAGTAGAAGTGCGGGTGGAGTGAGATGCCGTTGCTGCATGTTTGGCCGGCTGAATTTTCGCTTGAGCTCGCTGATGTTTCTTGAAGCCGGGCACTCAGGCTTTGACAATATCCCTAGAAAGCAGAAGGCCTTCGGTAACTTCGCGCAAGCCCCAACTGCTCTTGCGTGTGCAGAACACATTCCATTTTCTCCGAAGCAACAGGTCAAGAACTCCCTGAAGGTCTGGGATGAATCCAAGTTGGTGACTCGGATGGATCTTGAAGTAAGGGGGCTTGCCATCATTCCTGCCGAGGATTGATGCCATGTGGAACGTGATAGCCGCTGCGAACTCCAAGCCAGCTGACGCAAAGCCATCTGGCAGAGCTGGCACGTCCCAATATTCTCACCAGCGACGGCTAAAGCTTCCAGAAAGTCAGACCCAACTGCAGCATCAAACCGAAAAGCCGTTGAAGGTTCTTGCGTGACAGGACATGCAGCAGCCGAACCGGCGAAGACGCAAAAGGCACGGCAGGGCTGCCTGGAGGAGCCCGTTCGCGTCCTGCGAGTCCCAGGCGAAAGCTTGGCCAGGCAGGGGCCCGGGCGGCTTGAAGTGGCTCAAGATGGCTCCTAGATGGCTCCTGGCCTGAAGGGCCTGAAGTCCGAGTGTTTGCGAGGTTGGAAGCGTGCCATTGATGATGAACTGACCTCGGGCGCGATGCCCTGGAAGCGTCTGTGGCGTCCTCAGGTGACCATTCAAAGCAAAAGCGGAAACGGGGCCCCAAGGCTGAAAGATTTTAAGATTTTCCTCTGCGAGGTGCGCATGTGTCGTTGAACGATATCGTGACAGTGGCCATGCTGGTGACTATGACGAGCTTGAACTGCAGGACACCGCTAAGCTTCATGTGTAGTGCAACCCTGCAGCGCGAGTAGGGGGCAGTTACACAGACGATGGATCTGAATCACTCTGGCTGCTTGTGAAACTTGCAGGCCCTGAGCAGCATTCCTGAGGGAGAGCCTGCCCTGTGTTGCTCCGAATAGTGCATGGCGGTTCTCAGGAAGGAAGTCACATGTCCTTTGTGCATGTGTGATGGCAGACTACTGCTCTTCGAAGACCCCAGATGCACAGCCCTTACTCTTATAGTGGTCTCGTGGTAGACGACACTTTCCTGCCACCCACCTTAACCAGGTCATGCTCCGCACCAGCTGATCGGCTGCACCTGAGGTAGGATTGTTCCGGGACAAAAAGATGGGGTGCATGGGTGGGACGGCGCACCACCTGCTTGCATGTGGGCTTTTTGCCGTCTTCTTGCAGATCTGCTCAAGCTTGCCCAACTGCACATTGCTACTTCAGCATGCTTGGATTCACTTCAACATGATTCTGTTTGATGAGAGTTCGTAGTCTCTTCCCCTATACCTTCATGTGTAGGCTGGCATGGTTCGGACTGGATCGTAGGGCTGACTCTTTGGCCTTATGTCTTAATTCAAATTCGTAGCTTCATGTCTTTGGCCAAAGTTGAAAGTTGGATACATCCGGAGAGGTCCTTTGCTGTGCGAAGGTCGATCCTGAAGAAGCCTCATGAACTCCTGTATAAGCTCCAGAGAAAGGGCTATGTTTTGTGAGTCGAAGATGTAGAGCCAACGCTCCGTCGCCTCATGAGACCCAGCCCGGACCTGGAGCTGTCATTCGTGTGAAGATCAGCTTGGGCTTTGGCCGAGGTTTGAAAGCTGTCCGCTTGTCAACCTTGCACCTCGGCAAGTTGGCTCTGGAACTGTGCGGGCCAGGGCTGAAGATGACTTGAGGCTGCGTAGTTTCGGCTTGTGTCCGGTCGAGATCTCCAAACAGGAGCCACGGAAGACGTCGGAGTCAACTAATTAGGGGATCCGACATGATGACCATGGTCTCGCAGGAGTCGAAATCTGCAATTTCGTTCCTCAAGGCGGCGTACAGGGACAGAGCCAAGGCCGATTCGTCTTTGTGATGAGTAGGGCTAAGCGAGAGTGAAACCCTGTACGTTTGGATCCAGGAGCAGCATCCTGATCTAGCTCCCCGTGATGAACAAGCTGAAGCTGAGAAAAAGTTTGTGAAGCTGAGCACAGAGTTCAACGAGGCATCTCCAGTGAAGGGCTTCAGCTTTTCCATGCCACAGCTTGCTGTGCGCTTCATGCACTGTCCCCTCTTGCGGTCTGAAGGCTGTCAAGCTCCTTGAAGCAGGAGCTGTTGCCTCAGTGTACGTAACATTTGTCGTTTAAGTAGCTCTCCACTGGTCTGAAAAGAAGGTTCAGCCTGTAGAGCGGGCACGAGTGGTCGACTTGAATCCAGGCGCAAGATCGTTGGGAGGTGAGGGCCTGCGTGCAGCCCGGCTTCGTTTGTCCTGTCAGGTGCGCAAACTGGTGCTGCACATGCGGCATGGCACCCGCACTTCCAGTCTTGTCACCCAGAAAAGCATGGAGGGACAGGACGAGCAGGCTGCACGACTCAAGCTTATTGCCTCAGGTCTGCCGATTGGCGGAACGTGAATCGACAGTTTGCGTTATTCGTCTGCAAATTGCCCACGTTGGTCCTGACACCTTTGTGACACACGCAACTGATGCATCCTGCTCAGGCATTCGGAGCAACCGAAGTTTGATACCTATACTCGGGTTCAGCTCTTGGTGGCAGTGGCGGCACCCAAAACTTGTCGCAGCAACATGAAAGCAGTTGTGTGCCGAGGTGAAGGGCCATATAATTGTTTGGAGCAGCGCATTTATTTTCCTGAGTCTTTTGAGGCGCGGCCGTCAGTCCATCCTTTCCTATCCTGACAGATTGCGAGTCCAAGACAGCGAAGCGCTAGCACCTTCTCGTGACAGTCCTGTGAACTAGCACGGCTGAGAATATGTGTGGTGCTGGTTAGAGCCCGTTGAAATCGCGGCTCCGTCGGAGCTTGTTACTGCGAGGGTTCGCGTTGCTGGTTCAATTGATGCCCTTTCTGGCATTTCCGACTCTCAAGGTTTGCTATTGTGTGGTTTCAGTCTTTCCGGATCGATCCTTTTGTAAGTTTGTTTGTCTCCTGTCTTACTTCTCAGCGACTCTTCGGATTGGCTCTCGGGGCTATCCGGCTATCTACTTTTCTTTTTGTTCTTTGCTCACCTTGGTCTTGTACGCAGAGACGTTTTTGTCAGAACCGACTACGTTGTAGTTTCAGCCTTGTGCATGGGCATGACAGCAGTTAAAGAGTCGACATGATTCGCTGTCAATGCTATGCGATGGCCCCACGTCGGCGGATCGCAGTAGCCGGGTTAGAGACACGCAAGACCACATAGCAGGTACAGTGCACACACACCCACATTAACACCGGCCGGCCGATACGTTCTCCAAGCGAACCTGCAGTCCTTTCGTGTGGATGTCGCCCTGCGAATGCTGTCGTGCCGTTGCTGTATCCTCGATGAGGTTTCAGAGACTGTGACTGAGAAAGTGTGGGCCAAGAGCCGCACTCTGGATACTGGATGTTGCCGATGTGTGCGATGCCTTGAGAAGAGATCCGATCCCTTGGAAAACGCGCTCAGAACGGGCCGCCTAAAAGATGGCGCGCCGCAGCCAAGGCAGACATGGACGCCGTGACAAGCGGCCCGTTTTAGGAGTGGGATGTGTACAAGCGCGAACGTAGTCTACATGTTTCAGGAACATCAAACAATCCGAAGGCGGTGGGACCGACAGCAGACCATGGCCGAGGGCACACCGTTCCCACATGTTCCCACCCTCCTGCCACACGCTTGAAAATCGCAGCCAAGAGCCACTTACGGCGGAGGGTGGGATGTGTGCATGTGCGACGAACGAGTGCAGAACGCGCTTGCAGAGCGCCAGTGTGAAGGGAGTTGTCTTTCCGAAACTAAACACGATGCCCTGCTTGGAAGTCACAAAGCGGACCGCCGATGCGGGCTTCAGCAAATGGCTGCATGTGCTGCCTTGAGACTTAAGCCTCCAGCCGGTTTAGGCCGGAAAACATCGTCAGACCAGCTGGATTCAGCACCCAACCTAGACATGCAGGAACAGCAGGTTGGAGCTCAGCAGGGATCATCAGATTGTGTGTCTTTTCGAAGCACCACCCCCTCCGCAGCATTGGCAAGTCATACAACATGTCAACATGCCTTTACAAAGTGCGTTTGGCAGAAGCGGGAATGATGTCAAGCACAAGTTGTGAAGACATGCGTGGAGTCTGCTTTCGAGCTTACGCCTCACACAGCCTCTCGATGCAGGGAATTTCTTGTGGGCACTGCGGGCGGAATGTGGGCATGGTATCCGCCGCAAGACTTGAACCCTTTCTGGGTGTCACGACCTGAGAACTGTGCTAGCCGCTGTCCCGCATGTTTGCCCCTCGTTCTAGCAAGAGGCGAAGATACCATGGTGCTTGGTCGGACAAGGACGCTGGTTCCCAACATTTTCCAGCCCGGCCGCTGGTTCACGCGGCACTGAGGACAAGCCCGAGAAGAGAGAGCAGCCTGAGCAGCAACCCTCGGGACTGAACACCTGCCTTAGCCTTCCCTTAGTCTCCATAGCCTCGCCTGGCCAGGACCTCCTCAGGTGAAGCGTGAGAAAGACCGACCAGTGTCGCCGTCCTGACCTGTTGAAACAGAGCGGTGCGCCGGCCTGGCTCTTGTAGCGGGTCGTTCGTGACGCGGCCAGGGAGTTCTATGCCAAGCGACACGTCAGCAAGGTGCGGAAGAAGTACTCTCCGAGAGGCCTTCCGCGTGCTTACGTGCAGTTGACACTGCGCAGCAATCACGAGAGGTCATGGGCCGAGCCTTTGAGACCAGGATTGGACGCAGGTGAGTAGGACATAGCCTTCATCGATGATTCGATGCTCTGCTGGCTTTACTGCCGAAATTTTCAGCTGGACATAGTCTCGGCTTGCTTCGCTTCACGTCGTGTCAGCGTCAGCCAGCCGTAAAGCGGAAAACTATTGCACTTGTGGAATCTCATAAACACTTTGAAGGCTTGTCAGGACGTTTGCAGCAATGTGTAAGCTAGTCTAGCAATACGACTACGAGAAGCCTTGCCCAAGCCTAGCAGAAGCCGAACGGTGAATGACATCATGCCATGAGTCTTGACGACATGCCAGAAGCATAGGTTATGGTGGCAACTGGCTTGGCACCCGCATTTGGGCGAGCTGTGGAACTTGTACAAAGTCTCAGAGATGCTTGCAGGTCTGGAAGCTGTCGATGCAGATTCCAATCATTCTTAAGGCGATAAAGACATTTCGTGGATCATCCCCTGCCACTCGACAGATGCCAAGACTGGTTTTGCAGATCACTGCCGCTCGGAAAAGTCCTCCGGTCCTCCATGTAACCGCCATTGCTACAACGTCGTGTATGAAGCAGTCGCAGCGATGGATCCTGCTGGTACCACCCAATAAGGGGCTCCCACAGCAGGGCTCCACATCCCCACAGAACGAAGTCCTGGACGCGATGGCTAAGAGCTCAGTGAGCAGCAAGATCTCCCTCGATCTTGCAGCACGGCCTTGTGATGCATCTTTCCTGCGATATGAATTGCTGGTGCTGCTGGTTGAGGCCACAAGAATGATTCGCTTGGCTGTGTCCTGCTCTGAGATTGATCCGTGGAGGTGTTCTAGCACAGAGACTCCAAGCTGAGGGCAGCCATCCTGTCGATGGCGTTGGCGGACGCGACGGAACCGCCGGCGTGTTCGTCTGGAGCCTCCCAGTGAAGCTCCGGGGTCTCCTGGCAGGCGCTTGATTCCAGTGGACGAGGCCAGGCGGCCAGGGTCAATGTTGTGATGGTCTTGGGCGTCAGAGCATGGAAAGCGGCAGAGGCAGTCAACAATCGCGCGCTGCATGTGTTCGTAGAGTACGGTGCTGCGAGATGGTAGATGATATCGTCTCGCTGAGCATACACTGTCGCTGCGAAACTTGTTGCAGCGTCTCAGACACTGCAGGACACACAGATGATTTGATCGACAGCTACATCAAGGAATGCTGGTCGTTGCTGAATTCCCTTCTCGGCTGTGCACTCCGTTCATTCCATGCTGTCATGCGCTGCGACAGGACCACGGTGACCAGGAGGCCACAATCAATTCAATGTTCCCGATGACTAAGCAGAGACGACATGCAACGTCTGTTTCCGGGGTGACAGGATTCTTCAGCAGAGTCTCAGCATGCCAGTGAGGTGCAGTTGAGTCACCACCGTGTGCATGCGCTGTCGACTCTCTGTTGAGAGGAACACAGATCGAGATCTGACAGCTCGGCACGGCCACATCTCCGTAGTGGTGCTAGCCTGAAGGATACATGTCTTGTTGTTGCTTTGGACCCTGCATTCCAAGCAGACTTGTAGCGTGCAGCAGCCATGCTTTCTGCACGGCTTAAGGCCAGACACATGACTCGAAGGCACGGCTTCGACCACGAATGCTGCTTTTCACATGTGTTGCATCTGCAGGTGGTGACGGTAAAGCTGGACTCCGAGCTGCAGGCTTGCAGCTGCTTGCGTGTTTGCATATTTACGAAACTTTAGTTCACAGTTTTCGTTTCGTCTGGGCTGAGCAGAATACGCAGCACTGTCCTTGCTGAGGTATCTGAAAAGGCATGATGCTGCGACGAGTGGAAGATGCCGGTTTCACACTGACTGTGGCAGGACCAAAAATGCGCCTGTACATATTCTACCCCTGCCCTCGAGTGGATCCTTTCCTTGCCCTACACTTACACAATCGCCAGCTGCCTCGAAGGTGGGGGGTTCAGTAGTTAAGCTTCATCAGTGTTTGAGTGACCTTCCATGCCGACAGCGGCTAGGATGCAGGAGCATCCGGGAGATGTTCCAGCCATTTGGCGAAGCAAGGTCTTACAAATCCGGGTTTGCTCATCGGGTCGCGGGCATCATGCAAGTGTAAGCTAGCTTAGCGAAGCTTTGAGACCCTGAGCGGGTAGGAGTGCTTCCGTGCGCCCAAACTATCCCCATCCCAAGCGGTGAACTGGTTGACTTGGCCAAACAGCCTGCAGCAGTTTCTGCCCTCTTGTTTCGGGGATTGGCAGGGCGTGACCCATGCTGTCTTCGGTTCTAGCGGCATTGAAGAGGCTAGTGCCTCGGGCCGAGGTTTGACAGTAAATGTTTCATGCCTTTCTTGGGGTTCATTATGCCGTCATGCCTGTGGATGTAAGGGTTTGACAGTCAATGCCTTCTGTTAGGCCCTGAGTTCACCTGTCATGTTGTTGTGCTTGAGGTTTTGGGGCTAGTTCCGAGTTTATCATCTGTGACACCCTCAGGCTCCGCTTGTGCTCCCTTCGGTTGTCAGGTTCGCTGTAAGAGTTGTCTGCTCAGGATTTCGACTTCGGTGGGTGTTCGTGAAGAACTGCAAAACTACTGTGAAGTTGAGTTTCAGCATCAGTTTGGGGTGCGACTTTAGTGTGGGCTTGCACAATGAGAGTCTTGCAGTCTTGTGTGACTTGATTGCAAGCCTTTGCCAAGTCCTCCAGCACCTGTGAACTGTTTAGGGTTCCTCCGCGCCATGTAAGGTTGAACAATTTTGAACACCCACCTCAGCAGGTTGTTGGCTTAAGTCAATCAGGAGTTGGATCACGGTCATTGTGAGACGAAGGCAGCTGAATTCTCCATGCTTGACTTCTGGCACTCACACAGTTGAATCTAGGCGAAGTAACTCCGCTGCATGTCTCTCCTGCGAGTCTCTTCGGCCAAGTGTCTAGCAGTATTCATGTTGTGTGGTGTGCAGATCGAGGTAAGAAGCTTGCAAAGGCCGTCAGAAGCCGTCGTCACAAAAGTGGAAGTGTTCAAGTCGGTGGTTTTCGGGTCAGTGTTGAAGCATCATCAGGCGAACAGAGTGTAGGAGCGTAGCAGCTATGTTCGACTTTGACTTCGATCTGCTCGAGGAGCACCAGCAGCCCGACGAGAGCAAATTATGTAGCTATCAAATACTCGGGTTGGACGGTAGTGAATACAACGTTACCCTGGCATCCAAAACTAGCGTGCAAGAGGTCAAAGCCTCCCTGGAGACAGAGTATGGGATACCGATTCTGGAGCAACGCATATGCTGTTTGAATGGTCTTCACGAGCTGAGTGATGATTCCAGGCTAGCTGCTACATGCCAGCTGTCCCTGGTGCGAGTGCAAGTGGACTGGCTTTCGCGATTGAAGAAAAACCCTTTCGACTTGTGCATTGCGCCCTTGTGCATTCGGAATGATGTCGACATGGTCCGCCAAGCTGCTGAAAGAGATATATCAGCAGTTGCATACGCTGCCCAAGAGCTGCGAGCAGATGCAGACTTCGCTTTGTCCATGGCCAAGAACAACGGGCATGCTCTTCGGTATTTCAGTTCTGAGCTGAGACGCAACAGGGCCATTGTACTGGCTGCTGTGGAAAATGCAGGTTCAGCATTGAGATACGCCGACGAAGTCCTGCAAGCGGATGAGGACATTGTGCTTGCTGCCGTCCGAACGGACGCCAAGGCCCTTATGCATGCGTCCCAAGAATTGGTTAAAGACGGGGATTTTGCGAAGAGGGTCGTGGCCAACAATCGCCTGGCAGCGGAGTATGTCCAAAGCCTCGTGCTGAACAGTAGGAGCCGGGAGTTGCGGCGAAGGCAGGAGGAGGACGACAAACAGCGCTATGAGCGAGACATTGAGGATGCAAAGATTTTCGTCGACAGCGCATTTCGTCTCTGCCAGCGAGGTGCGATCTTCCTTGACGCACGATCCAATGAAGAGTTCGACAGGAGCCGCATATCTGGGGCACTGCCGTTTTCCGAGCAAACATCTATGCTTCGGCATGTGATCATGCAGAAGGGTATGTCTGTAGCATCTGCATCGGACGCAGTGATGCAATGTCTGCTCAAGTCTCCAGAACAGACAGTCGTTGTCTACAGCGATAGTGGTTCAGACGACATCAGCCTGGGATACATTAGCCGTTGCGTCCGTGTTGCTCAAGAGCTACGTCGTGCATGTCGCCTCGAGCCATCTCTCGGCAGCAGCCACCGCGTGCGTCGGCTTGTTGGCGGGCTGAATCAATGGAAACGGGCCGGACTACCAACGGATGGTGAGCAGCGACCACTGATCAACAACAGCATTCTGCTGGAAGGAGGTATTCATGCCTGTTTGGGCATGGACCTTGCAGGTGACATTTAGGTGCGACGACAGAAAGGCGTTCACAAGGTCTTCACTGCTGATCCTGCTGTGCTGCCTAGCAGCTGCTCGCGAATCCTATGGAGTCGTTTGAGCTTGTCAGCTTCAGACCCAAGCACTTTGAACGTCAAGTGCAGTTGAAGACTACCCAGCCATCTCAGTCACATCTTTTGGCCATACAACTTCCCAACTTGCATCGTAGATCGGCTTGTGCAGTCGTCATGCAAGCTACGCAACCAGTCATGGCAGTGTGACACTCCTGTGTAGACAGCCTGCAGCGGCTCTTCATGGAATGTCAAGAAGCCATGATCTCAGTTGCATCTTCAAGTCCTCCTGTGGCATCAGGAAGTACATCTTAGAGCAGGTAGGCACAGGAATGGCTAGATTCATGTCCTCGTTTGCACAAAGCTGGAAGCCGACAGGAAAACCTCCGTATGAGAGAATCGATCGTGATGTTGCTCGGCGATACGAGCTCATTTCGCGTATCGGGCGCGGGTTCCAGTCCAAGCTCTACATGTGAGACCTGTGCGGAGAGACCCTGTGTCGTCTCAGGTGCTATGGCGTCGTGTTTGAGGTCATGCTCCGGGACCGCCGGTTGAAAATGGGATGTTTTTCTGTCTCTCTCTCTCTCTCGCGTTCGCTCGCTCGCTCGCTCACGGCTCCGTGACGTGCCTGTGCGGGCAGAGGATCCTACCAAGTTCGACAAGTTTGCAATGAAAAAGGCAGGTGCTTCGAAGAAACAGTAGAACATGGAGGGTTCAAGGTAAGCCGCTTGCTGGAACAAACGCAGTGTTTCACAGCTGTTCAGCACGAGCGCTTTGAAAGTCCTTCGCAGTTCCCAGCTCGTATCTGAGCACTGCTTGAGTGCGTGACAGGTTCTTTACGCCTTCAACAACTCCACGGATGCCCAGCGGACGTACAGAGAGGTGGGAATGTACTGGTACGACTATCTGCCAGGGCAAAGTTCTCATTCTCTCATGTGAAACATGGAGGTTTCATACCTCATGGAGTTCGGCAGCCACACGAACATTCTCTATGAGCCAGACTAAGACTTCGGCCGTCTTTGGACCGGTGTTCGAGGCTAGGCTCTAGGCATGGACGTAACGCGGCATGAGGTGCATGATGTGCTCGTATCTGCGGATGACAAGCATCTCTACATTGCCTGGCTCCGAGTCTCCGAGTGCCGAGTCTTGGCAGTTTGGCTTCATCTGACTCGTGGTCAGGTCACAGACTTGATGGAGTCTGACCTGTGCAGGGCTATCAAGTGCCGCGGCTGCTTTGGATTGTGTGCGGGTGAGCTTTAAGCTTGATATCACTTTCGTTACTTTGACAGGTGCAACTGTTTAGGCATCGTGCACAAGTCCCTCATCTCGTACCAAGTGCTTCGAGCTCTCAAGTACATCCACTCGGCGGGAGTCATGCACCGTGACCTGAAACCCGGGAACATCTTCCTGGACCGAAACTGCCAGGCCAGTTCCAGCGCTAAGCGAGAATCGCTGAGGGCGCCAAGAAACTGAAGCTGCCTGCACAGGTTTTGGTGGGAGATTTTGGGTTGGCCAGGTCCTCGTGTGGCCGGCATGGTCGGTTTTCCCGGAGAGCTGTCCTGCTCAGTTAATGGCGCATCTCGACCGCAGCTGTTTTGACGCAAGCCAGCCGCGAGATGCTGGCACCGTCCTAGTAGCCGCCCGGAAGGCGACCATGTGGTCGAACTCCCATGGTTTGAATGAAGTCATACTGATCAGAGTGCCAGTTTGCTTGCCCGGTTTTGACGCGGTTCGGGCAGCACGGGATCCTCATGGCTGAGGTTCTGGCGAGCAGCCCAAACCTTGCGCCGACATGCGACTCAGGCGACTTTGCGGAAGAGTGCCCAGGTGCCCTGCTGTCCCAAGCGCTTCGCTTTGCGCATATCAAAAGACTATGATGGTTTGTTGTGACCTGCAGCACGAGGCGGCGACAGGCCTGCCTGTGGGTGGACGCTTGGACCAATGTTGACACATGCTTGCTTCTTGTAGTGCCACTTCGTTTCAGTATGCGACACCAAGGCCTCGTGATTGTGGCGGGCATTGGTGCTCCCTGGCTATCGCTGAAGGCACTGGGTGGTGGAGTGGTTGATAATTTGCTTCCGCAGCATCCAGCAGGTGACCCATGCCGACTCGGAATCGGCGTGGAGCAAGCACCTTGGTGAGGAGAGCTGAACTTAATTAATGACACAGCAAAGACGCAGCCTCGCCTGATGGCGGCCTTGGCCGCGGCCGTTGCTTCTGCGGAGGACGCACACTTGCTGGACCTGAAGCGAGAGCTGATGCTGGCAGGGAGATCCTTAGCTGGTTTCGGGTGCCAGCTATGGGGCCCAATCGAACAGAAGCAGATGCAAACAGCTTTGGTAGAATGCACACTCCGGCTTCTTATCTTCAGGATCTGACAAGCAGTTCATCTGGCAGACCTGCACCGGGCCACGACGGATAGAGGACCGGAGCGACGATGCCATGTTTGCCTTCCCGACATTCGCAAAAGGACTGTCGCATCTTCCATTGTCGGCGTGGTGATGTTGATCGCGAAGTCTCCCTGGACGCGCCAGAAGCGGTAGAAGGTAAGACCAGAATATGTGGCGCTACTTGGATTCAAGAGCAGTGTTGAGGAAGGGGGGCAACTTTATGCGCTTGCTGAATTGAGGGAAGAAGATTCTCAGGTCATCAGAGTTGGTGACGCCACCTGCCGAAATTAGCCGTGCGAGTCTCGAGTCGTCACACCTTCGGGCGGCGTCTGGCCCCTGCCCAGGAGCTGAATGGCCATCCTGGCTTGCTTCATGGCGGGTTTTCGGCAGCCGTCATCGACGATTTCACAGGTCTGGCGACATGGTGCCTGGGCAGCTTGTCAATGTCGGTGCAGATGCACAGCTCCGGCACATCAGAAGTGACTCAGGATAGAGAAGGAAGCACAGGACTTCGCTTCCGCAGCTTGAGACAATCAGTACTGTTGCAAACCGGACTCTGGTATATGCAGCAGGACTTGGGCAAAGATGCAAAGATCTTCACTGCCCATCTTGATCTTAGCTATCGGCGGCCTTTGAAATCCAATGCCGAGTACTTGGTGGAGGTTTGCGTGGATCGCGTTGAGCGCAAGAAGACGCTTTACTGCAGACTTTCCGCCATGATCCAGGTAAAGCATAGGCTGATGACAGACGTGGCACCAAGGAAAGTGTTCCTAAATGCTGCGATCTACGACAGCACTGACCATGCGTGTGTCAAAGGACGTGCGCTGTACATAATCAAAGCCTGATGACCCTTCAAAGGGATGGCAGACGCAGAAGACTTATTTGACAAGCCGTGTCCTGCTAAAAGGACGCGAGCCGTGGCAGAGCATCCGAGAGTGCAGAGGGCCTCCTCGCTCCCCGAAGATCGGCCCGAAAGACTACTCCGCGAACCATGCCCAGAAATGGCAAGGTAAAGCACTCCCTTCAACCCTGAGGCCTTTCAGAACTCGTTTTCAATGCCAGGCCCATTGACCCCACCTCTGGAGCCAGCCTGGCGTCAGTTGGGTTACTAGTGCACAGAAGGTGTACACGTTGTCGCATAGACGTGCCCTTGTTGCCCCCCACGTTTGCCAGGATGGAGTCATGCCCGGCGCCTGGTGACATGGAGACCAAAACCACCAAGAGGTCGGCTGCGTCGACTTGCAGGTTGACGGACTACATCGGTCCACGCTGGTCCGCCCCTGGGGATTTCTTTATCCTGCTCATCGATACTCTAGCTTATTATAGTATACTTTAGTATGATGTCTAGTAGAACCAGTAGTACAGTATGATGCACGTAGTATGATAGAAACAAAAATGTCGGCAGGTACCGGAGCCCAGAGCAGCTGCTCGGTGCAAGGCCGGGGGGGGGGGAGGCCCGGGTCCCCTTCCAGGCGAGACTCTGGGGGCGCGAAGTGTCAGGTGCTACTTCACAGCAGTGGACATCTGGGCTTGGGGATGCGTCGTCGCGGAGATGCACCTGGGGGACCGCTCTGGGCAGTGAGTGGGTGTGTTTCGGTGGCAGCCCATGTCTGCGCGTGCGCAGAAGCCGATCCTCAAGGGCTCCTCCACGATCGACATGATGCACAACATCGCCTGGCTCTCGGCCCTTTTTTTTGGGTGGGGGGCATTTCTTTACAGCTCGGGGGTCACCCCGGGCCCCCCGATCTCTTGGCCTGGGCAGGTCGAGCTTCTGGGCACTCCCTTGGAGGCAGGAAGGAATCCGAATTCCGAAGTTATGCGAAGCAAGTTACTGACAAATCTTCCTCTCAGGCGGATGTTGACGCCATGCAAGTCCGTGGCCGAGGTAGTTGGTGCTCCGTCACACAGAGTGCTTGCAAAATGCGGGGAACCGGGGTAGTCAGCCCCCAGGCCCAGTATGCGCACATGTCGCTTCAGCAGCTGCCCATTTCTCTGCCGGATCCCTAGCACCCGAATCCCTCCGCAGAAAGGCTGCAAAAGGAACGCGCCGCATCTCAGGCCGACCCTGGCCTTCGCAGAGATCATCCCAGACTGTTCGCAAGTTCTCTGCGATCTTCTGGAGCTCTGCTTCCAGGCCGAACAAGAGTACTTGTAAGACAGCGGCGACCAGTGACATCTTCACATCTGTACTTGAGTCCACTGCGTTTGTTCTGGAACACAACTGCTTAACCGATATGACGGTATGTAATATTCACTTGATATTAAAAAAGGCCCCCTCCCCTACCCCGAGCGACCCCCCCCCAAGGATGTCAGCCCCAGCCTCCGTACTCGATAATAGTCGGGATCCAGGCAGAGGCCCCCACAGCCTTCAGCTTGTTTAAAAGCCCCCAAACGCCCCAGAAGTGTTTGGAAGTGCTTCAGAAGCTGTTTTGGAGCCTTTTAGCGGCGCCCAAAGCTTCCAGAAGCTTGTTTAGAGTCCAGAAGCCGGAAGTGTCACAGCACTGCTTAGAGCCCCGGAGAACCCCAGGATTTGAGGCCTTTTCAGCTCCTTTGAGCTTCATCTTAGTAAGCAAGATTCTGTTACACTTTTTCCGCTCCGGCCACTTGGATTCTGCAAATACGGGGGGTTTCTAATTACGTTCTGGGAATCGGATTTTGCAATTACGCAGTCCTGCCGCAGGGGATTTTAAATATGAGGTGGATATGATGTAAGTAGCTATGATCAGTGTCCGCGGTTGCAACGTCTCCCTGGCCAGTGGAATCCGATGAAACGGCTGACTGCAGTGGAGGCAGGAGCAACTTGTGCAGGGAGTTGTAGGACCCCGATCATGCTTCAGCTGGTGCGCAATCTACTCGATGCTTAGAGTGATGCACAGGCCAGGCATGCGAACGGTCATGGCAGGCACTGCGGCATCCGTTTCTGTCGGCATTTCACGATCCGGATGCAGAGCCTGCTCATGACTCAGACATTCGTTGTTGACGGCGTGCAGCCTTTCTTGTCAACTCTTCCCTTGGACTCGCAAAACCTCTGCCCACACTGTCGAGTCGTTCCAGGTGTTCGGCCATCGGCTTGAACTTACACTGCCAGACGGCTTTGAACTCACAGTGTCTGATGCACCTTGATGCGCGCTTGAACATTCCGCACTGCTGAGGTCACAAGTTCTCGACGTCGCAGTATCGCGATCAGGACAGTGCAGCATTCTCACAAGATGACTTGCTCCTTCTGGTAAACATGTCTCTGAACCCTTCGCTTCGAAAACCGATTGAACTGGTCAGATGTATGCAGACATCATCGGGCTTGAGAAATCCAAGCTTCGTGTGGACGCAAGCCCGCCACGTTCAACGGTTCAATGTTCCGATGCTGTCCGAAACTGCCGTCGGCGTGAGCCAGGAAACCAGAAAAGCTCAAGCTCTCCTGGAGGAGCCCGCAATGCTTCAGTGTTAGTCCAGAGGCTTTGTGGAAGTCAGAGATGCCTAAGCGTGCAAGGCCATGGAAGAGCAAGACATTCCCTGACCCGGCGCAGCCCCTGAAACATGGCAAGAGTTTGCCTCCCCGTTCAATAGCTCGTGGTCCACAAGGCTGCCAAAGATGCAACGAGATTGCTGCAGTCGTTGGAGCCAAGCAGGTACGTAAACCTGTGCTTGAGATCGCATGCTGAATCCAAGCTTTGCATCTCAATGCATAGAGATGTCAGATGCTGTCGGATAATGTGCAGCACTTGCGCTGGTGTTTGCAACAAACGATATTGTGCTAAAGGTAGCACGAGCGTGCCTTACGCAAGTCAACGAGGCTAGTTGCCAAGTGACAAGTCTCGTGTTGCAAGCGCTGTGCAAGCAAAGGCTTGTAGATAGGCCCTCTGGAACAGAGCGGCCCGTCTATTTAGCTGCTACGTGATTTGAAGGATAACGACTGCTGAAGCTAAGGCTCTGTTGCGCAGCTGGCAGATTCAGAGTTTCAGCCACCTGCGATTGCTCTTGCGCCTGTTGTCATTCTGGGATCTGGCCCAGCGGAATGTCTTAAGCATCCCGCAGCAGGCCAACATGTTGGGAAAGGGCCTGCGATGCGATTGCAAGCACATATGAGGAAACATGCAAAAAGCAGTTTAGAGGTTTGGATCTATCTTTCATATCCTCACAGAGCTGTGATACTAGTAGGAAGGGCCATGCTGGTGCATGGGAACCTGGTGGAAGGCCGGCAATTCTGCGGCAGGCCGAGATGGCCAGCCACTGGCCAGAAAGCAAAGTGCTGTGGCTGTGGCCCGAGTTTGCAAGCGGACATCCCTCGGAGTGCCTTTTGGTCGCACTTCGTAATCGGCGTGAGTGGTGGTGTAGCTGCGGGCTTGAGCCGATGCAGCCAAAGACGGCACCACCAGCAAGCCAGGGCAAAGCGTCTGGCTTGCGTAGCCCGCTTTGCAGATCAGGCGAATGCCGTCAAGGGGTTTATTGACTGGATGGATGCATCAGGGATCGTGACCTCGAAGAACCTCGAGATCTTGCCAGACCAAGAGGGAGGTCGGTGTGTGAAGAGTACTGCAGCCATTCAGAAGGGCGAGGTACTGGTGCAACTTCCCGAATCATCTGCAGTATCTGTGGACATGTCCGAAAATTCTCCTGCACCTTCGGAGCTGGCGCCCTTGGCGGAGTGGTGGTCAGGAAATCCTCGGAGTTCCATTCGCCTGGCAGCGCTGCTGGTCTTCCAACGGGAGAAGTTTGGGCCCTATATCGACATGCTCTATCCCATGGAGAACATCTACGCCCCATGGTTGTGGGAGGATGCGGATCTGAAGTTTCTTCCTGACAAACTGGCTGCAAACGCAGCAGCACGAAGGAGAGCGTTGGACACTGCGTGCACAGACCTCAAGGCCAAAGGTCTTGCGGAGGCTGTGCCGGAAGAGTTATTTCTGCGTGCTCACCATGCCGCTGCTTCGAGAGCCTTCGCCGGCGAGGAGCCGCGGGTTACATCTGCACAGCTCGTGTAGCTCACCTGGTGAACCATGGCTTGTGTTCTTGGTTTGTCTTCGGATCCAGCACGATCCAGCTTCGGGTTGCAGGGCGAAGTTTCGAGTGCACGCACTGCTGCGTTGGCGTGTGGGGCGCTTGCTCTGACGGCATGGAGCTCGGCATGTCGAGGATTTGGCACGAAGACGGTGGTCGTGAGCTGTCAGTACATTGTAAACATGTGCAGTCGCAAGCCCAGGCCGCAGGAGCAGCTGCTGCAACAGGTGTGACCAGTTCGTATCTCGGTGCTTAATACGGGTCTATGCATTAACGCAGAGCCAGGCGAAGCGGAAATTCCATCGGCTCATGCTCCAGTTTTGGACACCCTGTGTGGCCCAGGCCTCGATGCAGCAGCTGGTGTTGGAGCGGTTGGAGTTGCGGCTTCTGGAGCAGTTGTGGCTGCTTGGAGGCACACGTCACAGGCTTGGATCTGATAACGGGCTCTGAGCTCAGCGCTGCAATCCCAGCAGCATTGGCAAAACGTTTTTCACCGATGGGTGCAGATATCCGAGAAGCTGAAGCGGTGTGTGGGTCAGCGTATGACTGCATTGTGTTCAGGGGTTGATATCTTGTGAAGCTTCACGAGCCATGGTCGATTTACGGTGGGATGCTGCGGTGAAGTCTACAAGCATCGCAGACTCCGAGGCTCTGAGCGAGGACTCCAAGGCTTGGCGCCTGGACTTGCGACGCTGAGAACCGCAGCTTTTTCGTCTTATGGCTTTTCCTGTTACGGCAGGTCTTGTCCCTGTTGCCAATGATCGACCAGATCAATCACAAAAGCGGGGCCGGGGGCTCTGGCAGCCGGCGTCCTGCATTTGCCCTCCAAGCCCAGTCTTTGGAGGCTCCTCCCGATTTGCAATTCGATCCCGCCAGCAGACGATGGGAGCTCAGGGCTCTTCGAGCGTGACCCATATACTCGTAGCTTAGGGTCTTGCTGATGCTCTGCGTGTCTCGTTAAGCTTGGATCATGCTTGAGTGGCCTGTTGGCAGGTATAGCGCTGGTGAAGAGATTTGCTTCAGCTACGGCGACAAGGACGCCAAGTTCTCATGCTTCACCATCAGACAGATCACACAGGTGCCTCTTTCCCGTTAAGACGCGCTACCCGAGATTGCGAAATTGTTGTCTTCCGACAGCAGTTGACAGCAGGATATTATCGTGACCTAGATGTGCAAGTTGACGAAGAAAATCCAAGGGATCGGCAATGTGAAACGAACAACGGTCGACGACACACTGCCGGCATGGGCATCATGCAACCCAAAGGACGTACGGGGAGCTATAGGGAGCTGGCTTGCACCTGAACGCCGTTGCGCCACTAGCTCTCGAACTCGGTAGTCTGCCTCAGTGCAACCTCCGTGGGTAGGACAGCGACGCGTTGCTGCTGCAGCATGGCTTCGTGGAAGAGGCGTGCTGGTTACTGCTGTTTTGTGCTTGTGACGAGTGACGGCTGGCTGCTGGCTGGCATTCAGACTCGGAGGCATGAGGCTCCCGTGACATTCGTCGGTTCTTTGCTTTTTCAGTATCTCTCTAAGGCATCTAGGCTGGACGTAGTTCCAGAAGTCAGCCCGAGCCCGGAGCGATTGTGCCAGAAGCTTATGGAATGCTGGCATCCTCATCCTACCATAAAGTTCAGACAGCTTTGAACCTTTTCAATACTTCACGGCCTAGACAGGCCTAGGCATCAACGGCTGTTCTTTTTCAGGATGAGTTGCTTGCTGGTTGCTTGTGTTGGAGGACAACGGGGCCGACAAACTGACGCTGTCTCTGCCAGCAGTTCGGGGCTGATCTCAAATCGCCGTCCAGTCTTTGCCTTGTTTCCTTGGGCGTCCCTGAGGCCGGCTTGTACGGTTTGTCTGCGGAGGCCATTTCGGAGAGAGCCGGCGGACGTAGTCAGCTCACAGATGTGGGAACACAGGGCATAGGTCGGGACGAGATTTGCTGACCGTCGTTGCGGTCTCTCAGTGAGCGAAGCTGTAGGACTTGTCACCCAGTCGTCACAGCAATTCTCGAAGTCTCCGGCCAGGCCAAGTCAGAGCTCGATGCGCTGGGTGTCCAGGCATCGGTGTTATGTGTAGTACAGACTAGTCTTTAAGTCCAGGCAGGCATGGATGCTACAAAACTGCGCAGCTTGGAGCGTTCTTGAAGCGGATGTTGTGTGAAGGAACTGGTCTTTGCCAGAGACGGCTCTCTGCAGGGCCTGACTGAGGCCACGTTCTCTTGACTTCGGTGCTCACGTGCAGAAGATTAGCTCGTGATGGTGCTGCAGCTCCGTCCACTAACCACAATTTCCCATTCACGCAGCCTCGTGCTGCTTGGTGCAGCGCTTCAAAGAGATTGCCCGAAGCTTGTTGGCTCAGGATGTAGGTCTGGCGTCAGCCAGGAAGGTGCCATGCGGAGACGGCAGCTCTCGGGGCTTGTCGTCGTTTTGTTTGGTGACTTTGATGCAAGGCGAAACATCAATGAAGCATCGCAATGCACGGCGGAAATCCTGATCTAATGATGACTCCAAGGCTGTACATGTTGGACTCGCTTTCTCAACTATGCGGCCACCTCGCAGACTTTCATCCCTACGCAGACACGCACATCTCGTGTCGTTCAGCGGGCGATGTTGGACCTAGATGAGAAGAGGGGGCCGGTAGTGGACAAACGCTTCCCCCCGCCAGAAGAGTCTCGCCAGCATCTTGGTCCCTCCTGTGCACTAGGCAGAGCCGCTTTCTGGATAACCTGCGGCTTCATGTCAGATTCACCCAGTGTTACGAAACCTCAAAACTGTGGCAACTGGAGCAATTGCGCGAAAACGAAGCAGGGTCGTAAGCAGTTCGGAAACCAGAAAGGCGTCTTTGCATTACTTGGCACTCCCTGAGCCAAGGATGTCTTCAAGTACCGTGGCCCAAATCCCAAAGTTAGGAGGAACCGGAGACCGAGTGGTATTGCAACAGAGCAGCTGTCACCACCGAAGAAGGGTGGCCTCATTCCGTCAAGAGGTTCCAGGGTCTATATACGTCACACGGGCTGGACCGAAGCTTGGCTGCAGACGGAGCCGAAACAGTCGTGCCATCTTGAGAAGAGCGCAACCACAACAAAGTTTCTGTTCTGCTTGTGGTTCGCCAGGTTCAAGATGGACAGATGTTTGACAGTTCGTTCCTCCGGACAAAAGAGCCAGAGATGTTCGAAGTATCAGAGGCCGCCGGGCAAACGTGCACATTGGTTGCCTGCCTTCCTTTGCCCGAGTTCACCAGGGCATTGTTGACGTCTAAAGAGCGTGGAGGAAACCAAACCGCGCTTTGTTCAAGCCAAGCTCTGCCCGCCAATCGTACGTATTCTGTTCTCGCACCGTCCTAGACGATCAACGAGAAGCTGACCAGAGCGACCCGCAACATTCCGGATGTTCCTTATCCTTTTGACGGGTTCGTTCATATTGTTACGCATGGCGTAGGTTCAAGCCGCGGCAGGTGCCCTAGGTGAGGTTGTGCCTAGACTCTTGACCAGTCTCCGCGTGGTGTGAAACGCAAGCACATGCAAGCACCAGTGGGAGTTCGAATGGCCGGAAGGTGCTCTCTGCCTGGCGTGCCGCGCTGCTGGAGATGCGCGAGGGCGAGAAGACCAGGGTCTGGGTTCCAGCGTCCAGGCCGTGAGGTTTAGGGCGGCTGGGACGGTTCGGGTTGTTAGGGTTTGGGTTTTGATTGGCCATGACTCGTGCGGTTTTGCGGTTTAAGGCGGGTATAGGGCTTGGCATCTAAAATGGGCCCCATGAAAGGCCGACTGAGCTGGATTGGGGCGTTTACAGCGAACGCGGGCCTCTTTGCTCAGTTTTGGCTATCTTTGGTTTTCGGTTCTTTCAACTGATCGTTGGGTTCTGGGCAATGTTCCCTCCGTCAGCCTGTCCGGGTTCTGCGACCAGGATTCTGGGTTGTGCCCGGTTCCTTCCGGATGCCTCCAGTTCCATGAAAACCGTCTTGATGGCGCAGCATCTGAAGGCAGTACCCCTGGGTCTTCGACATTGAGCTGATCAAGGTCGAAGAGGATCCACCGTACTTTCTGATAGCGCTATTGGTGCTTCCCATCATTGCTGGAGAGCTGTACATACGCATCACTGGGAAAACGCCGGGCGATGCACTCAATGAGTATTTATATGGTGACTTCCTGAATGGAGTCTAGACGCCGGAACGCGAGGATGTAAGTCATCAGCTATTGGGGCAAAATCTGCAAGCATCTCGCGGGAGGCGGATTCGGAAAGTGCCATAAGCCCGAACAAGAGGTTCCGTGAAACGGACAGCTACGAAAAAGACTAGGCGCTTTTTCCTCCTGCAAACTCTGCAGCAAATCCATGCGACAGTTTTCGACAATCTACCAGACCCATGTGGGCTCACGAAAGTGTGGTCGCACTCCCACGTATCCGTACTGAAAGAGGCCTTGCCCCTTGTGCATTGGTGGCGTTACGGCACGTCTTCAGCTGCCGCCGCTTTCAGAGTTTTGGTGCTGCACCAAGTCCTGTGCAGGTGTCGCGGCAGAACTTACCGGAGGCATGCCTGCGACCTGCAGAGAGCTTGAGAAAAGAGCAATGAGAGAGCATAGACTAAAGAAGAGAGACAGAACGAGAGTCAACAGAGGCAAGCCTTTAGGCAGGAGGTGCAGAGAGTACTTGACTCTCTCTTTGTCGAATTTTCAAGCGATTCTGGTGGGGCCCATGGACACGATGCCAAGACTGGGGGTGCACAGCTGCAGAAAGGGTGCTCTCTCAGGTGCAACACCCCTCACTCTCTGCCCACCGAATTGCTGCATGTTCGAAAGGAAGAGACTTTCACATGATTCGTCTCGTGATCCCCGAGGCTTCAGCTCCAACCTGAGACTTGAGAGCTCCCGGCCTTGTACCACTGCACGTTTGGGCATGGCCTTGCTGGGGCAAAGCTCGACTTCTCTCTGCACCGCAGATGCACTCTCTACTTCAACCCTTGGAACCAAGCGGAATCCGATGGCGTGAAGAAACCCTGCAACTTGCGGCACTCGCATGGGCGACCTTGACTTCGAAAAGCGTGTGGTCCGGCAAAGGGCTGTTTTCTCTGACAGGTGGTTGCGGCCACGCTGCGATCTGCTGTTCCCAGCTGTTCAGCTTCCGAGGATGCAGAGGTCGGGTGACACGGCGTGAAGCAGCTTCAGGTATTATCTTCCGCGTTTGATCAGGTGGCAAGATCAGTGTCCTCGCCGGGCATCGGTCGAGTTCTCCTGCGCCGGATGCTTTGCACACGGGCATAGTCTTTCTTCTTTTGCGAAGTATGCTGCCGCTCACGCATGCCATCGAGCCCAATAAACGAGGTGTCTGCAGAATGGAAGTATTTGCAGAGAGCCAGCTTAATAATCACAGGCAATTCTCGGAAAGAAACACATAAAACGCGTCCGAAACCAAGGCGTGTTGCGTGGGAAATCTATCCTCCTTGGACTCGTATCGCATATTCTCCCTGGTTTCACCTCTCAAGCATGAGGTGGGGGGTGCTGCCAGACCCCAGAAAGCGTCTTGAGAATGGGTGACATGCAGGAATCGGAGTTGTGATGAGCTGTCTGTCACTGTCAGCGAAGAAAGCCCAAAAAGAGCGATGGCCAGCAAACCCTTAAAGATGAAAGAGGCCATGGCCCGGCACCGAGTCTGCAACGGAGGTGAAGACCACACACCACAGGCCTTCAAGGAGGCCCAGCCCTGCTCGGTGAGCAGTGAAGCGACTGAGGCCAGGGACGAGCCCACTTAGAGCCCACTTAGAAGCAATGCAATCCAGAGTGGCCAGCCTTCGAACCAGAACTGGGCCAAGATCGAAGATGCAGAACGCTTCACCGAAGGTCTGGCTTTTGCACTGACTCTCAAGCTTGCCGGGGAACCGGGCAACTGGACAATTGCATGAAAGAGAACATCTATATAAAGCTTCACCGTAGTCTCCCAGTGTAAGCCTGGTGACCTGTCAGGATTGTACAGCCTTATCACTGCGAACTTCTCCCCAAGAGAGTAGTACTCAGGCTGGCGCGCAGAGCGGCGGAAGCTGCTTGAAGCTGCTGCAGAGCGGTGGAAGGCTGCCAATGAGGGCTTCATAGGCATCAGGGGAGCAGTTGTGGACGAAAGCCCATTTCTGCGGACATGAGTTGAGCACTGGTGCTGTCTCGATGGTTGACGTCCTTTCTAGATTCTAGGTGAATTCACATTGCGACCCGAGACTTCCCATGCGTGCACCAGGTAGAGGAGGTGAAGCAGTGAACTGCCCGAGCAACAGCATTCTCTGATCGTTCGTTTGCACAGAGCTACTGGTGTGAAACAAAATCAGTTCTCATTCCTCCTGATGCACATTTATAAGGCACGCCGGCTTGAGGATCAACGAATTGATCCGACCGGTGAAATTCAGAAGGGATGTCCTCGTGTGTGTATGACCGCGTGTACCGATGGCTCGGACGCGGGCAGAAGTAGTCTGGCTGTTGTCGCAATGGACTGCTCTTTACGCCCAAGGCATCTTACAATTACACCAGAACTGCTGCTGGACGACCCCAGGATCAATCGGCTGCATGAAGTCTGTACATATGCCATGGTGCTTGTCTTCGGCTTTACCTTGGTATGGTTCTGCAATCCGACAGAAGACTCCATCTCCCAGACGGGCATTTTCAAGTTCGGTTATACAAACGAATTGCCGGTGACTTGCAGGATTCAGACAGCCTGTCTTTTCTGTTAGGGCCTTCAGGATCTGTGTCGTAGTAATCTACTTGACCTCACTCTGATATGCATGGCCAGGAAGATGATGTCAACTCAACTCTCCGCGACCACTGCATGTCCAAGGTGCTCAAAGGCAAAGCACCAAGTGACTACGATTACTGTCAGAATTCCAAGCACTACGGTTGTCAAGAGCCTCATGCAGAGCAGGAGGTAGCGGGCTGCATGAGGCTCTCGAATGCTGAGCACTATGTCTCCCAAATCCGTGATCCTGATGGTGATGGCATCTTTCTGCCAACAGTGTGGTCCAACACGACAGTCGTCATGAAGCCATATGGTACAGGATGCGAAAATTTGACGGGTTGCACGTCGACCCGAGAAGCCGTGCATAAGTTCATTCCAGGAATTTTAGACTATGGCTTTGTGAGCTTCAAGCTGCTGTCGAGGTTGGATCATGTAGATTGGAAGGATGTCAATGCTCCACTATGTCGGTTTGACAAGACCGGTAGAGTCTTCGAACGGGCGCTGAATCTTGCGGGATCAATGCACTGCCGCGCGGTACTTGACAATGCTAATGCCGCAGTACATGTGAATCATTCCTTTGTCCATGTGGGAAGATGGGGCACCGTGCACTTGAGTGTTCCAAAGTTAATGGAATTAGTTGGCGATCGTCGCTACGACAACTTCGCGGACTTCTCGCGCAAGTTCTGGAAGTTGCGGGAAGACGTTGCTGGCTTTGAGAGCAGGCTGCCCGGGAGGCAACGGAGCAAATTCAGGCAGTTGGTACGCGACTTACAGGACGGCAAGAACGACAATTCTCAGCAAGTTGAGGAGTCGTTGGCTTTGGAAGACTCCGCAGAGTATGAACGGTTGAAACGAAACATCACGGACGCACACGCTTGGCTATCGGAAATGAAAGGCAGCCCGTATTCTGTGTTCGTGAGTGGCAAAGGCTTCATCGACATCCCTGTTGATGGGCCAACATGGCCTTCCTTTGAGCTTTTTGACGAACCGAAGCAGCACGACCCTAACATTTGCTCCCCGCGAAGCCGTGGTGGCAAGTTTTCCATCAAAGTGCGCACCGTGTCTCGGTATCCTTCAATCCAAGAGTTCAACGGAGATGTCGTGGATTTCGTCAAAACATGGGTACAGTGCTGGCTCGGCTTGATAGTCTATGATGATAAGAAACGCGAGTACCATTGTTTTGAGGTGCAAATCACGATCAGCTATTTCCGACAGCTGGTTTATTCTGACCAGGAACGGTGGCAGGAGGAGGACGGTTCTCTTGTGCGAAAGGAGTATTCAACATCTGGCTTTGCATTCATTCTCCAGGGAGAACGAGACATCGTCAAAAGATTTGATCCGCGCTCGCTCATCTATGGTCTAGCGTCGTTTTTTGTAATTTTTCACTTCCCCACTTGGCTATGCAGATGCATCGCGGCGTATGTTGGGCCAGCTCGACATATCTACAGGAACGCATTCAAACGCAAATTCACTCTGAACCATGAGATCGTTTCCTGGATTGTGCGGCGCAGCAGCGCGCTTTCGACCTTTGAGAAAATCGCAGAAGCCAAGGACAGGGGACATCAGCTTCGTGTAGATGAGATTGTGAGAGGACTGAAGAAGACCTTGCATGAAGCCGAAGAGTGCGAAGAACAGGAACTTGCAGATGCCGCGATTCAGGAGCTGGCTGAGTTCCTGGTGAGCAAATGCAAGAGAGAAGCAGACGAAGAACAAGCAGATGGCTCAGAGGGCCTGACCCGACCCCCATGCCTGGGAGAAGACGAACAACAAGACGAGGAAGCTGACGACTCTGCCTCGAATGCTTCGGCCGAACCGTCCATCCCAAAGCAGACTTTTATCGAGCTGTTCGAGGAAACTCAGGTGCTAACCACAAAGCAACTCGCTCGCTGGCACGCACACAAAGGCCACAGAGATCAAAGCCTGTTGTCTGATATTCTGTACCAGTTCGATGAGAATGTGAAGCGACCTATCGGGGATGCGATTGATAGGGTTTCAGAGGCAGGACGGAGCCCTTCAAAGTGTGGGCAGCATCATGAGGACTCTGATGAAGAATCCCAGTCCATCCTTCTTAGCCAGCCCGGACCTGGGCAGAGCTCGCGAGACGCAAGGGCTCTCAACCGTGTGGGCTGGTAATCGTCTCTGGCTGCGGAGGTTGTTCGCGTGTGCCTTTGCCATGCTTCACAGGACACCAACGACACAAACGGGCATGCAACATCTTCGTATGACGTAGAAGGTAAGTTGGAGGATCTTCTGGGTGTCTGGTCACGAGCTGTTTTAGAGGCTCTGTTCAGCATGCAAAGAACATGCATCCCAGGTTTCCTGCCCACCTTGAATGGGTGCTACGGGTGGGCTGCATGAGTGTAACAGCAACCTCACTGTCTTTCCATGATACTGCGACCTATGCCTAGCAGTCTGGCAGAATATTGCAGATGTGTCTTCCATCAGGTTGATAGTGCTATCTTGCAGACACCTGGAGTCGAGGGACACCTGCAAGACACCCCACAAGGCCTTACACTGCAGGCATGTAGCACCCTTGCACATGCTGGAACTCTCCGCCTGCTTGCGCCGTGGACTGGCTTCTTGCCGTTGAAGACTGCTGCCATCGAAGTGGCTTGGCGAGTCTGCCGTACGATGATCTCAGGCTCCGTGGCCCAATCCGAAGCCTCCACCCACTCGCGGCGCTCCTGGTGGCCAGTTCGCTGTTTCGGGATATAGTGAACTCAGGATGCAGAAGTCAACTGAGGCATAGCACTCCCGCGCACGGTCGCCACCAGGCTCGACCTTCAACCGCATGGCAGCATGTGGCAACGAAGCTCCCTTCTCTCCGTAGAGGGGCAAAACAGTCGCGAAGCTTCAGAGCGTCACGGTCAGGCGTGTTGCTCCCCTGAAAGCACCAAAGACTCCCAGTCAAGGCCTTTAGTAGTGCCTGCGGGATTTCCAGGGCACTGGAGCATAGAGCCGTGCCGTTCTCCAGAGGTCTCCCTGGTCGAGCGCAGCGTCTTTGCCTGGCAGCCATGGCCGGCTGAAAGATACGCAGAGCAGAGATTCCCTGCGCTTCTTGAGCCCGGCAGGCTGCAGTTGCGAGTGAACGACTCAGGGTCCGACACGGGGAAGAGCTCTCCGAAGAGTGCGCTCCATAGCAGCGAGCTTTCGGACTCTGCTGCTTTGCTGATGCCTGCAGGTACACTTGCAGGTCTTGGCATCGGGGCCTTGAGTCGCATCATGGTTTGTCGAAAGTATCGAAAGTTGCAGGATCCCGAAGACGGATGCAGAGATCCTGAGATTTTTCCTGTGCTTTCTTGCGGATCAAGGCCCGCCGCTGCCGCCTCTGCATGCAGTGTCAGGCGGTCTGTCAGCATCGTCTGCTGAAGGTCTGTCAGATGTTCCCGTCTTCATCAACGGAGGGTATGCTATGGCCCTGTTTAGGGGCTCTAGGAAGACAAGAGATGCCGTGAGATTTCTGAGGTCAGGGACCTGCTGCTTGGCAAGGAGCCTGATGATCTCGATCTGACCCTTTGCCTCCGGGACTGTGCGCCCGAGGTGCGACTGGCTGCCTGGCTTGCTCGCTGAGAGCCTTGCGAGCCTAACATGGCAGGTAACGGTGGCAGCACTCCTGGATGAAATGAAGCCGTACGTTGAGCAGAGGTGCTCTCACCCATGCTAAGCATGGTAGGTTGAAGCGAAGTCTGGGTCCCGGATGTTGTGAGAGGCCGGAGTTTGGCCTCACAGAGTTCAAGAATGTAAACGGCTTGGCTTGCACTTCCGCTGAAAAGGCAGACTCAGAAGTCACGAGCCACAAGCATGCTCAGGCGACCATTCTGTCCAATGAGTCCAAAGATAAGCAGCTGGATACCTTCAAGGCTTGTGTCTCGTGTTCCCTCACACCGTGAGAGTAACCCCGTACAGGCTCACTTCACGAACACTGCAGGGGTCAAGACCGAGGACAGCCGGAGGGAGGATGGGGAGGTCAGGCATCACAAGTTCCATTCACGGTTGGCAGGTGGACGTGATGCCTACGATCGGGGAGGAAACGTATTCAGATGACAACAGGCACGCACGACCACAAGAGTGTCAGGACTAGGCACAAGAAGCTCTATGCTCCATGCTGTTTCCAGCACAGTGCCAACAAGTCCTAAGTGTGCCCGTCCTCGCGCACTGTAAGTTGCCACTTTGCGCAGGGTGCCGGTCCGTGATCAGCGTGGCCTCCCCGAGGAAGATGCTCTGCACAGGCCTCGGTAGATAAAAGGTCCGGTTGATCCGCGAGGGACCTTCACTTGCTCTCTAGTGTACGCTCTTTTTCAAAGTTCAGGCGAAAGTCTTCATGAGGGAGTGTGACTTTGTGTGGCGAAGGGGTTGCGAAGTTTTCATGCTGTCAGATGCAGACGCGTGAAAATCCAAGGGTTGCCACCTAGGCGTCGTGACCTGACCATCGGTGCCCTGCTTATGCGCCTAGCTCTCAGTGAATTTGCTCATGTTCGTGCCTGCATGCATCAAACGGTCACGCGCTCTCAGGTGTGCGCTCCTCTGAAAGCAGCACAGTTCGCTTCTGAATACTTCTCGTCTTGATTTCGTGCGGATTGCGTGGCAGGATCTGTTTTGCTGTTGTGACACAGGCTCTGCGCTATGAGCTCTTTGACTTCTATGGTGGAGCCAGGGTCTCACTCTCCGATCTTACCGGTATGCTGCAGCCATGTCCGATGCTTCTGCAGCATGTTTTAGTGACAGGTCACCGACATCGAGCGCGGAGTCCTGAGATCTCCATGCCGCCACCTCGGTCACCGGGAGGATTTGTCTGAAATGCCGCGGCCTGGTGACATCGAGGCCCAGTGGACAGGAAGCCTGGCGAGGTGGAGGAGGTGGTGCTGAGGTCAGAGCTCAGATCTGAAATCTGCAAGCAGCTTTTACCGAATGCGCCAAGGACGCCGGAAGAGAAGGAGCTCGTGCAGACCCCAGGATGCCTGCAGTCAGTCCTGCTCTTGTCCGGATTCCGGTGGGCTTCTCACGCTTCTCTTCGTTTCAAAGAACTGTCCACTCGTGCGGCCGTGGCACGCAAAAGGACCGCAGCCTCGTGTTTTCAAGCCCTGTTGGTGGTGCTCCATCACCGTGCGTCACCGAATGCTCCGTGAGCCCGTCCTCTTCCTCCGATCGTCTATCTGTGCATGTACATGCTTCGGTAGTTTACTGGTTCGGAGCAAAGATGAGTTTGCGTGTTACACCTGCAGTCTAACGAAAATTAAAGCTGCTGACATTGCTGGCTTGACAGCTTCTCTGTTCGGGAACAAACGGGTGCAAAGCCCTCACATGTCTTTCCCAGCTGGTTTTACCAGATACCCGGGTTTAGAATCTTCAGACGAATCAGATGTGCAACGTCGACAGCTCAAAAAACTGGCGACGGCATCAACCTCTGCAAGCTGATACTGACAAATCCAACTGCTTCCTTGCCATGGCGGCTCTTGCCAAAGCGCGAACTTCCATGCTCCTGCTGCTTTTCGGTTGCGTGTGGTCCTCATACTTCCTGTTGAAGACCTTTGAAGATATTCATGCCCGGCTGTGCTGCGAGTGAGGCCTTTTGCTTCTGCGCTTGGCATCCGGTGAGATCCAGATCTTCTCGCCCTGTGGCACGACGAAGCAGTGACAAGCAGGAGTGACTTCGGAACGTGGGAGCACAGGCGGAAGCGCGCGGTTTCGTGTCAGGAAATTGTGTACAACTACTTTGCGCAGGACCGAAGCTGGAATTGTGATTGGCTCCCCATGGCTCATGTGCCCTGTGATCGCCGCTAGTCTCCTGCGGAGGATTATGCCCTGGTGACGAGGAAGGAGGAAACCTTCGACGTAGGCGCCTGAAGTCTCACAGCCCGGCTTTCTGACACGGCGCCGGAAGCTTGTCAGGGCAATGGCTCTCGGAATTGCTGCCGTGGTCGGATGGGGAACTCCGAGCACGAGACGTTTTGTCAGAAGTGCCCGTCCTAGACTTTATAAGCTGTGGTGTAGCCGGATTCAGAGAGTGTGCTTGTGTGCGTGAGTTCTCCTGCTTTCCCCTGACGAGATATTGCCAAAGTGGCGCAGCATCGATGTTGGTCCACAAACTGACATAGCCCTTCGACGTCGTTTCCGCGCTTTGACGGCGGCTACTGGAGGCAGGAACGGGACTCACGGAGTAGAGCGAAGCCAGACACGGAATTCTCAATGCCACAGCTTTTCGTGCGAAGGAAGTATGAAGCCGCTGTATTGAAGGTGAAGAGCCTGCTTTGGCTGCGATGCGCCGCAACATCGCAATCCTTTACTTCGGTGAGGCAAACCATTGCGCTTGTTGCTACTGGAGCGTTCCCTCAGCAGTGCCGGAGGGTCAGATTCAACGAGCCGGAGAAGTCCTGCAGAGACTGTTGGGCAAAGAGAGGCTTCTGTCATGTTTGCAGAAGAGCGGGGTGCCTTGAGTCGCGAGTGCAACATTCCCCCAAGCTTAAACATCTGCGAAATGTGACATCGAAGCTGCTTCAGTGTTAAGAGCCGCAGTGCCGCTGCGTATCAAGTCCATTCTCTGTCTTCCATCCTCTGTCTCAGTTCTGTACTACATCCCTCAATGGGGACTACGCTGCTGGTGAGTCCGTGTCATCAGCAGCACCCCGCTGCCTTGGCCAGTTCCAACCTTCTTGCAGCAGCTTCTCCTGCGAAATATGCGAACGTGCCAGGGCAGCGCAAGTTATCCAGAAGAACCCGGGTGTGCTAACGATCGACCCCAGGCGCCCGTCTTGCTCTGACGATCGCTGATGGTGCAGCACATGATGGCATCTTTTCAGCCCACCTTCTTTGACTCTGACCATGAGGAACTTGGAGAACAATATCTCGGCCGTGTGCGTAGCTGCTGACGTGATTGATGTACTTGTTCAGAATGGACAAGTTGCGCGGCTGACTGCAGGCAGAAGCCTTATTTCTTTTTCGTATGTTGTTGGCGCGGCTCAGACTCAGATCTGCTTGACGTATTTTGCTAAGACTTGTGGTGGCCTTTGAGCTTCATTCAACTCTGACATACTTGCAAGCTGAAGCCCTTGGTCCGAGTGAAAGATTGCCCTGCAGGTGCCGTCGGTATCTTTTTCGCAGTCGGCATTGCAAAAGCTTTGGGCGATGTCATCTATCTTCGTGTTCTGAGTCAGACTTGAATGGGTCACAGTGGTGTGGCTTGACGAAAGCACACATTCCCGACCACTTCCTGCCTACCCTCTGGAAGATGGGCGCTAGGAGCCTGAGCTCCGGTAGTGCCCAGTGCCCGATCCAGCAGAGCGACGTGTGCCGATGGCTAGCTCCTGTGAGCCAGCGAGGCTGGTAGTGGCACGCCTGTGCAAAGGGAGCGCGGTGTCACTTAAAAGATAAGAAAAAGAACCGACCTTTGACATGGCAATGGGCTCACCGTGGGCTCACAGGGGGCTCAGTGCGAGCTCCGTTCGTCCAAGGCCAAGAGCCTGGGGATTCACGACTTGCCACCTGACGAAGCTGCCGCGGGCTTCGCATTCCTTTAACAGGGCATGAGCCATGGGCCGAGCAGTTCCATCCACCGCTTCAGACTTCCCTCGTGCGCCGAGGTACAGGTCTTGTGGTGGAGCAAGGTGCGAGGTGAGCTGGCAGGTGCAGCAACGGCGGAGAGCGTACCTGGAAGGTTCTGATAGATGACCCTTTGCGAATTTGCCGGGCTTTGCGCTTCGCTGCGAAGTTCAAATTTAAGCTGCTGCAGCCTCAGGGCATGTGTGACAAGCAGCTGGATGGTTTTTAGACCCATTTTCTCAGGCATCCGGCGTTCTGGAAGGCTCAGCCTTTCCGCTGAAGGTTACGTCTCAAGCACCCGATTTGCAGTGAATCCTATGCAGGCTGCACCCTTCGCGCTTGAGCGGGGACCTCGCACGCTTTGTCAGGCTTTCAAGTGTCAGCTCATGTAGACTTTGCTGCTGGCCACGAGCACACGCATGCACGGTTACCTGTTCGACATCGTATGCATGCGCTGGAACGGCGAACGAGCAGCTGTTTGGCTCAGGCGCGCTTCTTCACATGTTTCTTTCAGGAGACTACCGCGTTTACCGCAATTTTTGCCGCAGAGCCTGCATCCTGGCCCTGGGCATCCTCAGCACCTCGGATCTGATGTCATGCCAAAGCATGGAAGCAGCCTTTCCTGGCGCCGTCTCCTTGCTTGGCCGAGGTCCTGGCTTTGGCTCCTGCGGGCCGTATCCAAAGCCTGGGATACTTGCCCGGACGAGTCACGGCATGGCAGCCGCCGAGGCCGGGTTCGGTCTTTGCGGACGTTTCGAAGCGCTGGGCACGTCGAAATAAGCATATGCCATCTGCGAGGAAGCGCCGGTGCCCACACCCAAAGCTGCCTTGCTGCTCATTGATCTGCAGAAGGCAAGAAGTCTTTTCCTGATGTTGGTGGCAGCCGCCCCGAAAGCTTGCAGTGGTGTGAGGCCTTCACCGTGGGCAGCTGGGCGTCACATTTTGGTGGTAAGATGCAGGTCGCCGACATTGAGAGAGCGTGTGTCGAGACAGCACGGCTGTTGGAGTCGGGGAAGGTGCCCCCTGACACTCCGATACTTTGTACCAAGTGCTATGATAGTATGCCGCACGACGAGCCCTACGTTGACGTGGTGGAACCTTTTCTGAGGAAGGTCCCTTGCATTCACAAGCCGACCATGGATGTCACCTACAACCCAGCCTTCTTCCGATGGCTGCAGCAGCAAGTAAGGTTGCTTGATTGAAGCTTGCATCGACCTAATGCTTGGGTCGGATAGAGATGTCAAGGTTTGCACGCAAAATTCAGCATTCTGATTGAGAACTGAGAGAGACGGGAACGTGTCTCCTCCTCATGTACCACGCAGACCTAGCGGCCTTTCAACCGCGATCTGTTGTTGCTTGACTTTTCAATCGCTTTTGCATCGGCCAGGTTTGTCTCGACCATTCTCTCGGAAGAGTCACTAACGAACGACACACACACACAGAGAACCGTCGAAACGGGAATCAGCTTTAGTGCAAGAGCGCTCAGTTGACAGCGTGCACTAACCCGTTTTAGTCTGTTTCAGCTGCTGTTGTGCAGTCCTAGCCTCAAGAAACCCGGTGTGAACAGCTCCTTTTTGGGCCAATTCTTGAACGGGAACACGACCAGTTTTGACAGCTTTTGTTTGACATCAGCAGGGTCAACAAGAGGCTGGTCAGTATTTAGCATGTGCTTTTGTCAAGTGGTTAGTCACAGAATCGCGCAACATACCACCACCGAGCACTTGTAGGCACCCGCTTGAACCCGGACAGAGCCGACAATTGCTCCCTTCCCGCCTTGCTCACCCCAGCGTACAGCCTGCCAACCCCGGGCTGGTACGAGTCTCAGAGGATGAACGGAAGGAATGCTGCGGAAGCAGCACTACATGGCACTACAGTCTTGGATGCAGCTTGAAATCAGTGTGCACACAGAACGGGAAGGCTGTGGCTGGGCGGTCCGCTTTGTAGTCTTCCAGGTGAGTCCAGGTGGGTTGTACCCTTTATCGTCCGCGGCCCCCGCCTCGCGCATTCCATTGCCTGTGCGCTCCTGTAGCTATGCACTCGAGCGTCCTTCAAGTTTATTTGCTGGTTCACAGGCTTTCCCACCGAGGCATTGCATTGCAGTTTTAAGAATCCGAATGGACACAGGAGGCGATAAAGCAAAAAACAGCGTGCCACTAGGCAAACAGAAAGAACCAGGAAGCGGTTGTTTGATCGAGACATCGTCGTCGACATGTAATGTAGACACAGTCGTTTCGTTAATTTCAGCGGCTAGTGTCAAAAAGGTTCCGTGCTTTGCGCTAGTTCAATCGAGAACGGACTGTGATCTTTTTGTGCAAATGCTTTTGCTCACGAGCGGGAAGTCTGAACCTCATCAATGTCACTCTCCATGAGGTGTGGTGTCAACGTTTTGGTCATTGGAGGCTGCACCACAACGTCTTGTGTCCGCGTCAGTTCTACGGAAATTGCCAGCCAGCTCGCAGAACAAGGCCTTGCTGGGAAGATCCGAGTTGTTGTGGACTTGAACTTATGTGGAGCACGGAGCGACAACTTTGAGAAGACAGCGGATCGTGATCCGGTATTGGTGAGAATATACGGCCGCGAGTTCTGTCAAGGCAAGTCGGCAGTAGACTTGGCCATCGTGCAGATGCATCGCGCTGGCGTCGAAGTCATTGAGAGAGATGCCGGAGGGTGGCAATGGTAGGGATGGGATCAGCTCGACCATCTCGGAGTGGAATGCTGTGAAGTTGCCATCAAACGCAGTTCGGGATGCTTCCGCTTCCTACTAGCTTCACAGCGACCTGCAAAGTGGCCGACGAAAAGGCCCAAGAATCAGGGCAACCGGACAAGTACCACTGGTGAGGTTCAGGACAAGAGGCTCATCCAACAGCCGGCGAGCACAACGTCGTGGCTGGCACGGTCTGCAGTGAATCCTGGTCGATGGCACGGATGACGTTTCCAATGCACGCAGGCTGTCAGCCTTTTCTGAGCTGTGGACGGTCAACACGCTGATCCCAGGAGTTCGTCTGAATGGGGTGTTCTGTCTCTGATGTTCAAGCAGCAGGGGCAAGATACCGGCAGAGGCAAAGACAATGCAATGACCCTTCGCATTCGGCGTATGGCCAACTGCTTGACAAGGTGAATGAAACGTAGGAAGCACAGAAATAGGTGCGCAATTGAGAACGTGCACAAGTTCCTGATGCAGGCGTGATTGTTCAAAGCCTAAAAATGGTCACTCGTGCATTCCTCCTTTCATGCAATCCTTGGTTCTCTTCAAGCATCGTATATAGACCTGCTTCTGGTGGAGGTCTTGTGTTGTCTCGCAGATAAACACGATGCGCACGTGATCTCGCAGTTGCCTATTGCCAAGGCCACTGAGAACGAAGGTGGCGAGGGCCTCAGCACGGGTGCCTGAAACCATCCCTGCAGCTCTGCCAGCGTCCCTAAATGCACAAATTCGCTTCGTGCGTGTGTTGTCAAAGTGCGGTCTGACAGAAAACGAGGGCATCCAACAGCCAGTCTCAATTCGGGCCACGAATGGCACGGCAAAGTGGCAGTGGCCCATGGGCCCATACATTCCACGGGGGGAGAGATGAATTCATTGCAAGATCGCCGAGGTTGTTCTTTTGTACGGGTGGGACGGAGTACTTGAGGCTGGAAGCCGAAAATTCACCGAGTATCAGAAGATTGGAGGTGCGTGGGCGACAGAGTCCGGCTTGGCGCAGCAACCGGTCCTGCAGGGTATGGTTTCAAAGCCTGCTTCGAATTCTTCGAGCTGGCCTTCAGCTATACCTTTGGACCTGGCGAGGCGCCTTCAACCGTGTCACTGCTCAGACCGTAAAGCTTCGAAATCTTACAGAGTGCCGAGAAGACCTCTTGTGATCTTGAGCGAATCTGTGAACGCATTTGGGAGACTGCAGGGCTGCTCGCGTCTGGCCTCCGCCCTTCTGGGTGGGCAGGCGCCGGGACCAATGAACTTGCGAGAAGGGGCTGTTCAACAGATTCCGCACGAGCTTTCGATTTGTTTCTTGTTTCGAAGCCGAGCACACCACATGAAAGATGGCGTGGGCAGGACGACAAAGCAAAGCCTCGGATGCTTTCGCAGGCAGGCGGAGACGGGCTGCGCTTCGCGTCTCTGTATGCTTGCAAACACACTGCCGGCAGAAACTAATCGTCTCATTGTAAGAAAGCATCTGGCTCAGCCACATGTCAGTCTTTCCGAGGCGTCTTCACTGGCCGCAAAACTCTCTCTGTCTCTTCCTTCTAAGCACTCCGCCAGTCAATTCAACGCGATCTGGAGGTTCACTCTTTCGATCGAGACTGCTTTCGCACGCTGGCTGATGCAGTTCAACCGTGCGAGGCGGCGTGGTAGATGTGTTCTTTCCACTGCAACTCAGTGTATAAGTTAAAGCAGCTGCGGGATGTGCTTTGCTTGTCCGCTGATTGTCTACGCTGAGTGCGCAAGGCAGTCAAGGCAATGTGGTCTCCCAAAGTTTATCACCAGCGTTGAAAAGTCACGACTGCTCCATGGAGATGCAAACAAATCATAGTGGTTGAGTGCGAGTGCTTGGGTGTGTTCAGAAGTGTATTATGCAAGAGTGCACTCAGCACTGGCAGAGTCTTCGGTGTCATTTGCACAACCAGAGCTTATGGGACTCGCAGGCGCGCTTACCTTGTCTTAGAGTCCCGGCGAGAAAACCCATGCTCCTGAGAGAAATAGCGACCAGATCGTGTGTGAACTGCCACAAAATCAGCAGTGCTTCGACACAGGGGCAGAAGCATGACGGAGTTGAGCTTCTCGGGGAGCTCATGGTATCGGCGATCGCCACTTGCCCATCCTCTTGAGTACTTGCCACGTCATGAAACTATCCGAATCCTGGATCACTTGTGCTTTCGCACATCTGAGGCCGCGGCGCGGTTCGAGGTTCGCGGTTAAAGCACGCAGCAACGATGATGTCCTGCTGCAGTGCGGTTTAGCAGGCCACTTCTCTGGCTCTGCTAGGCCGAGGGAGATCCTGTAGCCGAGTTCACCACCGCCTGCGATGGCATGTGCGTTTCAGCCTTGTTGCATGTTCTTGCACCGTGCTACTCATCAGGATGGAACGTTCATGGATTGATCCTTGTTCTCCGAGGTGAGCAACGCCATGCGCGAAGCGGGTCTCAGCCCGCTCAATGCTTCTATCGCACGGACCTCAGTCAGAGCGGTGGGACGGAGCATTTGCCGTTCATGCGCTATCATCGTTGCAGATGGAAGTTGAGAAAGCAAGGCTCTAGAGCCCTCGTACGACAGATACACCACACACATCAATCGGATGATTCTTCGAGTGCGAAAAATTTCGAAGTCGATGCTGCATTACCCAAAGCCTCTGCGAGAAGCATCTTCGAGATCTTCTGCTTGAAAGACAGACTTTGTGAGAGCGTATGGCAGCCCAGGCGATGGCGGCGGAAGCACCGTCATTGAATGCCTTGGACATGCGTTGCTGCCCAAGTTCGGACGTACCTGGACGGGAGATGCCCGCTCTTTTCCTGCGTGTCTGCGAAAGTAACTCGCGAGACGTCCTTCTTTTTTACACTCACTTCCATGACGCAAGCTAAGATGTGGCCGACGCATGCGGCATCTCACTGGACAGCCTTGGCCGACATGTCCAAGTTTGGGAGGCCTGCGAAGCGAGTCTGTGCACCGGAAGCCGGGTTTGCAAACACGCTAGAGGAGGTTGTAAGTATGCCAGCGCTAGCGGCCAGATTTTGGGCCATGCTCAGTCCATCAAAGAGCTCACTTCCTGGTTGAACTTTGCATCATGTTGACGTGTGCAATGTGCGCCAGGCCATGCAGATCTGCAACTCGCGCACCGGTACTTCAGACATGATTTTGTGTTTGTAGGTGAGGGAGGCAGGAGATTGCACAGCATGTCGCGCAGGCCCCGAATATGCAACCCCTTATCGGCGACAGTTGGCGCTTGGCCCAGTATTGCCCAGCCTTAAGCCACAATTTAAGCACGACGATTTTTCTTTCAGGCCCTTGCATTGGTGCGGCTTCGGGCACCAGACATGGCAGCAGAAGTGCAAGCCTGCTTTGAGGCCGGGTCGAGTCGCAAAGAAATTGCAGCTCCTTTGTCCAAGCATGAGTTTCAGAGAGAAAGTTTAAAGTTCAGCTTCTGTCGAGTACCGGCTCAGAACAGCACGACAGCAAGTCGCGGAACATTGGTTTGTAGACACTTGGAGAGCACCGCACGATACGGAATTGTTGTGGCTCGCCTTAGCATAATTGAGCAGCAGCTGGGTTTCTTGGTCACACTGTCGCTGGAGATGCCGGCCTGGAAAGCCACATGTCTTGATTTTCATTGGCCAACTCAGACACAGCTGCCTTTCAGAGTTTTCGCTGGCGCTGTGGTGGCAGACCAAGGAACTCTTGGGGAAGACGTTAACGCCTACTTGCCAGCCCAAGGCTTGCCAAGCTCAATTGAACCTGTGTTCGAGCAACATTGGAATCGTGCCTCAAGCGAAGTTCCAGGCGAATGCAAGACTTTCCAAGGTGAAGCTGCACTTCCAAGAGCGCAAAGAGTGCGACATCCACGATCCGATGTTCTTGCGATGCTTGACGCTTGGACGCGACCTGTCGCGGCAAAGGCCGGTGCTTCACATTCCACAATCTGCTTCAAGCTATGGCGGAAAGTCTCAAGGACCGTCTTTGCCCGGAGCCGTGGTTGCAAAATCGTGAATGCGGAAGTACGAAGCAGTGCGCAGACCGACTTCTCAGCTGCTTGGCTAAATCACAGGTCAAGTCACGGCCTCGCCTTACTGAGGGCAACTCGATGCCAAGGTAATCATGTGCCATGACAATGTGAGGGACCTGGCGGCCGTGCCGCCTCCCTCCACAGGAAAAGGAAAAAAGGCAACTGATCCGAAATCGTGGCGGTTGTATGCAGGCGGGCACTGTGAGCCAGTGCTAGTTTTGGCGCAAGCACAGGCACCGAAGAAAAAGAAGAGCAAGAAAAACGGTCCGAGCGCGGGTACCCTGTACAAGTGTGCCTTGATTGCATGTGAGATGGAGGCAGGACTCGGGACAATTCCGTTCCCGTTCAACTGTTCAGGTTGGGCATACGATGGTTAGCGGCTGGCTTGCACGCAGTTTGTTGAGCCGTCTTGTTGCCCTGCCGTTTTTGGTCGCCGAGCATGCGCCGCCAGGATGAGGTTGGCTGCAGGATGTCGATTCTCAAGTTGCTACTGCTTCCGAGGACATGCTTGGTCTTGTCCAGCGTGCTGGGTTGCCTCGCCAGCTCCCATGCCGGCTCTCCTGACGGCCAGAGTAGTCATGCCAGCCAAACCTCCAGCTTCAAGCCGTTGAGACGTGTGGAAGCCCAGGAGGTCGGCTTCAGGCTTTTGTGAAGTGCTCCGCCGCAAGAGGAAGTTGTTTTGCAACCCTCGGAGTCACGACACCCAGTTTTAATTGGTCTTCGTTCACATCCTGTCGGGCCAGGACCATTGAATACGATTCTATATGATTATGCCACCTTTAACAGAAACTTAAACCCCCACATGCCTGAGAGAGCCTTGCTAGCGACCCAGGTCATGGCTGATGGGCACAAATGCAGAATAATTTAGGTCTGAGCCAAAGCATTGGCAGCAGAATCGAACCTGTCGGTTTCAGCTCTTTCGAACGTGCAGTATCTGCGGAAGGAGGCAGATCCGCAGAATCGTACCGCGTGCATTACATGTCTACATATTTGCGAATTGCACCAGCTTGGTTCTTACTATATGTCTTTGCCTTCGCGTGGCTTAGGCGCAAAATAGCCTTGAAGCCGCTTCTGATGCTGCCTAACAGAATATCTTTAGCCAACGTCAATCACTGCCCTCCAAGGGTTCATGTCGAGTGCGATCCGCTAATGCGGCGCTGGATAGACAAATCCATATTTTGAAAGTGAAGTGCCAGCCTAGGGCACTGTTGACCAAGCATTGTCTCAGCAGATTGATTGAACAATGGCAGCACCGACCCAAAGATTTCGAGAACAGATATATACTTGTACTTGTACTTGTTAGCAGTCTGCTGGATGTGTTGCAGGTGCTTCAGTTGCCGCGGTAGTATGCGCTACTGGGCCACGGAACTAATAGCGGTCTGAATCCTCTTGTCCAGATTCTTGCAGGCTTGTTCTTACACTGACATGCGTCCGAAGTTTTCAATTCTTCGGGCGCTGTTGTCGGTGAGGGCAAAGACGGCCGGAGACTGAAAGGAGTGCAAAATGGGCAGCCGTTTTCGTTCTAGAAGAGAAAGTCCAACCGTCATGTGACGGCATGTGTATACATGGTTGGACAGGCGCTTTCCTTCAGCCGACCACCTGTGCGTGGGACAGTTCTGAATGCCCGGGCCTTGAAGACGCTCGCAGCCGGTGTGCTGGTGTTCCCAGGAAGCTTCGAGAACAAGAGCATTTCAGCCAAGGCCAAGGGTGTGCTGGAGGTTCCGCCACCTTTGCGGCGGCAGGCTCGTGCTTGCAGCTACCGATTAAGTGAACTGAGTGAGTGGCTGGAGTCCGGATCTTGTCGGAGCAGAACGACCGTTCTTCCATGGTTGCGGATGCAAAGTTCCCTGCTCAACTCCTGGGACTGAGATACTTCGTTAACCAGAGCTGCTGCTTGAGGGAAGAATGTGTTTGGCTCTCGTGGACGCGCACCACCCTGGATTCACATGGCTTACTGCTGCTGCTGCTGCTTCCGGAGCGCGCACGAAAGAGAGGCACCACGACTTAGAAAGACGGGCGTTTTGGCAAGCTTATGGCCTCCGGTGCCATCCTCGTAGAACACACCAGGTTCACAAGCAAATGAACTAGCAGAGGCTGTGCTTGGGGTGAGCAGAAACTGATCTTGGGAGGCATGCAGTCTCACACGAGGAGACGACTCTGAGTCTCTCGAGGAACGACATCCTCTAGCCGGGACAGATGTCGAGAATCATCAAACCTCTTTATCCCGATCTATGTCAGATGAAGAGGATGCTGACCAGGCTCTGGGACGGAAGCCTGTGGCGTTCACCGCAGCATCAGTCTTCGCCATGTTGCACGATGTCACGTAGTCGCCTTGAGCCTGCACAAGTTGGCAGAAAGTGAGTTGTTCACAAAGCTGGCTCCCAAAGACAATGCGCCGAAACCCTGTGCAGTGTAGTACAGTAGACCAGTCGGAGATGGTTTTGTCTGCGACCGACAAACTTGTTGTGAAACACACTTGTGTGTGTAGGGACATGGCCGGCGCAGACGTCGATGCTGCAGCTGTCTGCTGGCTCGTCGTCGCGCCCCGACTTTTAAGGATTTCTTCTAGCCGCCTCGTCGTTGCCATGTCGGCCTACTCCCAGGCAGAGGTTGCGTCGGCCGTCGCCGTGCTTCGCGCGGCCGTCGCTGGCGGCGTGGACGTGGGGATCCACTTCGGCGGGTGGACCCCACTTGAGCGGCGCACACTACAGGTGGCTATCGACGGCGCCGGGGCGGCCATCGCCGACGCCAAAGCCAAAGCCGGCGCGCAGGTGCGGGCGCCGCCGGCCAAGCAGCCACCGGTCCTGGCGGCACCCCCGACACAGGCCAGGACATCGTCGGGGACTACCAGCACGGCCCAGCCGGCACCGGAGCCACCGGTGGCCGGCGAGATGACTGGTGATGTCGGCGCCTGTGCCGGCGTGCCGAGTGGATCTTTGGGCAAGTCGCCCCCAGCAGAGGCAGCCGCCGGCGAGGTCCCAGCCGGCTTCCTCCGGCGGGCTGTTTGGCTACCTGTCGGATGCCGACCGGCGTGCTGCGGATCAACGCATGGCCGACTTGCAGGCACAGATCGCCGGCGAGATTCGAGAAGGTGAACGTGCGGCGGCTGAGCGGCGGAACTCGTCAACATCCGGCTCCCAGGACCGGCCCCGCCAGCCGCCGGCGAACTTCCCACCGGTGCAGCCGGCACCGGCGCGGGTCCGCTATCCGAATGCCGATCCGGTGACCGGCGAGGGCTTCCCGATCTTGCCGCCCAATGCCCCGGCGGGACGCCCCCCCGCACGAGGTCGACGCGGCGGATGCCGAGTACCGGCGCATTATGGAAGACCGGCGTGCCCTCTGCAGCGCTGACTGGCGGCGGCACGTTCATGCCAAGGAGCAGCCCGGCGCCAGCACGGACGAGGCCATCCTCGATCCGAACTTGCAGGCGCTGGCGGTGGCGAACATCCTCCAGCTGCAGCACCTGGAGCAGGCCGCGGCGACCGGCGAGGGAGGGATGATGCCGGCGTCCGATGCGGCGTCGTTCTACTTCCTCCGCTCCCTGCCGGCGGGCATCAGAGGCATGCGCGTCCCAGAGCGCTTGGCCGGCGAAGTCTGGGTTGTGGGCTGGTGTGGGCGCCTGGCACCTTTCTGCCGGCGCCGGAGGGAGTCACCATGTGGTTCCACATGGCGATGTGCTTTGGCGCGGCGGCGTCGGTCTGGAAGCGCTGAAGAGGGCGCTCCTCTGGGTCTTCTCCGGCCACTTCGTCGACGACTTTAACGGCGTCGACATCGACGAGCTGGCCGACGGCGCCTTTGAGGGCATGGCCGAGTTCCTGGCGCAGCTCGGCCTTCAGACCAAGCCGTCGAAGGCGCAAAAGCCGGCCAAGGAGCACATCATCCAGGGCGTGCTGGTGTCGATCCGTCGCGACGGGGTGGTCCTCCAGCCAACCCCGCGAGGATCAAGAAGATCGTGGCGGCGATCGGCCGGGCACTGGACTACGACGACCTCGCGCCCGATGTGGCGAGCCGGCTGGCTGGCAAGGTCAACTTTGTGACCCAGTCGACCTTCGGCGCTGTGGGCAAAGCGGCGCTCCAGCCGGTCTACGCTCGGGCACACGACGCGGCCGCGGCCTCTGACACTAGACTGTCGGCTGGCTTGCGGGCGGCCCTGACGTCGCTCAGGGCCCTGCTGGCGACGATGCAGCCGAAGGTTATCCCCGTCATCGATGACGGCGCCCCGGCGGCCATCATCTATGCGGACGCCTTCTATCAGCCCGGCGAGACCAGGAACAAGGCCGGCCGCATTCCGGCGGAGTTGAACATCTGGCCGGGCACCAAGGGGATGAACGGCTGGGGCTACGTCGTCAGGATCGGCGACCACGTCTTCTACGACTGCGGCGCCGCCCGGCCTACTTCCTGGAACTGTTCGCGGCACACAAGGCGTTCATCTACGTCCTGGAGATCCTGGCGCAGATCCTGGCGCTGGTGACGCTGGCGCGGAGGCTTCCGCAGAGATGGCTGGCGTTCATCGACAACGTCGCTGGTCAGTGGGCGCTCACCAAGGGGTACGGGAAAGACCCCACGGTGCACGGCGTCCTCGCGGCCTTCTGGTCCACTGCGGCGTCGGCCGACTGGCTACCCGACATTCGTCGAGTGCCGTCGAAGGCCAACGTCTCCGACACGGTCTCCAGAGGCGACCTGGCGATGGCGCACACGATGGGTTGGACCCAGGTGCACACATCCATGCCGGCCATCCTCGAGGTGCTGGCGAAGGCGGCCCAAAACTTGCACTTCGCAGTCGACGTTCGCCGCCGGCCAGTTGTTGGAGTTGGCGATCTGAGGGGCTTAGGGCTGCCGGCGCAGTGTGGGAGTGGGGAGCGCCGTGCAGGATGCGGAATGCGTCCCCGGCGCCGTACAGCCCTGCTCTGCCGAACGCGACAGACCCGGCGCGAGAGGCGCTTCATACCGTCCAAAAAGGAAGGGTCCTGTCGTCGTACCGTTTTGGTTCTCAGTCGGTGTAGGCCTTGTCGTGAAACACACTTGTGTGTGTAGGGACATGGCCGGCGCAGACGTCGATGCCGTCCCCGGCGTCGTACAGCCCTGCTCTGGCGAATGCGACAGACCCGGCGCGAGAGGCGCTTCATACCATCCAAAAAGGAAGGGTCCTGTCGTCGTACCGTTTTGGTTCTCAGTCGGTCTTGTGGGTGTAGTCTTTCTGCTTGGCCGGCTCAGCGGCAGGTCATGCTCCTCTTCGAAGTCAGCACACGGGTGCTGAAGTATGCAGCGCCCGTCGAGGCTCGGCAAACACAGATAGTGCCAGGCCTGCTGAAGCTCTAGTCTGGGAGCAGATCGCAAGGCGGGCGAATCACTTCAGCAGCTATTCGACGCGCATCCAAAGCTGAGGCCTGTCAGCTGTACCACTGCTAGGCAGTCAAGAATTCGAGTTGTGCGAAGGCAAGCCTTCTCCTCTTCCGTATGGATGGCGCTGCTCCCATTCGATTATTTATCATGTGTAGTAACATCAGTGCATTGGCCTACCTCAGGCAGAAGATGGTAAGACGTTGAAACGCGAGCTCGGCACTTGGGCACGTTCCACCAATGATTTGCGAGTTTGGTTGAAGGAGAGGCAGATGAGGCTTCATGTGCCTCAAGCTGTAAGCTTCTCTAGCTTCACTGCAAAGCTGACTTGTCCTGTACCTCCAAAAACGTTTGTTCCTAGCGAAGCAAGAGGTTCTCCCAACATCTCTTCGCTCCTCTTCTGTAGTCTCTTTGGCGTTCAGAGCGATGGCGTTTCAGGGGAAAGTTACTTCTGCTTTGTTCTGGTCTTGTACTTGGTTGCCACCAGCTTGCAACGATGGCTGCTTTGGCAAGATCGTAGTTTTGAAGCGGTGGTTTCTGATTTCGTTGAGCATGGCACACGCCGCATGCTTGTCTGCCCGAGAGCTCGGGGCATCCTTACTCGTGGCATAAGGCCGTATCGTCAGAATTCGCATCAGGCTGCATGCCGCGTTGGTGCACGGAGCGCGACAAGCCCTTCGCGAATTTCAGCATTGGTTTAGCCGGAACCGAGATCCGAGGCTCCTAAGTACATGATGCCGCGATGCTACCAGGAGACGCAGAAGACATCAACCCTCGCGGTAAACAACTGTGTCGCAATTCGTCAAAAGCCCGGGGGAACTGTTTGCGGGTTTCTGCGTGAGATGCTGTAGCCCGCGTCGATGTGTCGGGCCACTTCACAACAATTCTACGAATGCGGATTTTCAGCACACGAGCACTGGATCCAAAAATCTCGATAGATGAGCTCAGCACGGGCGCTTGAGGGTTCACATCCCAAACGGTGTGTCCTTGCGGGCGTACTCGTGTCAGCCGAGCAAGCACTGAGAGGGAAAGATGTCAGAGAACACGCGACATTACGTTGTCATGCAAGCAAAGCATGTAGCGGTGGTTATCGCAGTGTTCGTTTGTCCCTGCTGAAACTGCCTGCCAACCCGCGGTTTGGAGTGCTGTCTTCTTTTTCCCGTATCGATCCTTGGTGCTCAATTAACCTGTACTTCTTCCTACAACGCCCGATTTGTTGCTCACTCATTGGGGCTGCGGCTCAGGCTCAATTTTCTGTCTTCCCAAGGTTCCAACCGCCGAAACGTGGCGGGGCGAAGGATGCCAAAAGGCCGAAGGCAACTGCATGACTGCGGAAGCCATCTGCAATATGTACAGCTCGATTGATCAAGAAAATAAGGACAGAACATCTCAACAAGTTCCATTTCATTAATCTAAAATTAAACTAATTCAACAAGATATTAATTAATATAATATTTAATGTAATATATTTAGCTTCGATCAAAATTGTCAGAAATTGAACTACAATATATTACCTTTTTTAATTAGAATATATCTTATTCTTCATTTTAGATTTTTAATATTTTGAAAATTATATTCTCACGGACGAAGGATTTTCTATGAGATTAAATCGAAAAAGAGCATCTTTTAATTTCTCATTAGATAACAGAAGATTTTTTTTAGTTCGATAATAGAATTGCTCGGATTTTTTGGATACATTCGAAAAAATGAATTATCTAAAATTTTCGTGTCGCGAATTTCAATAACTAAGTATTTTCAAGATAGAATATCTTTCTTTAACTATTTTTAAAAATTTGGATATATCTCTCTATATTTGAATTCTATTTATATTTAATCTATCTCTACTCTATAAAACGCTACGGTCAAACCAGCCCTATGCGGTGCAGCACGCCTCGGAGCGCCCCAGCCCCAAAATTTTCGGGAAATTTCTGGACCCCGGCGAGCAAGCCCGATTTGGTCTACCCGAGGCCCAAAATTTCCGGAAAATTTAGAAGCTCGGGCTGCAGCTTTAAGAGTGCGGGGCCTCTTCGGTGGTCTCGGGCTAGGCCCAGTCTTCCAAATTTTTGGAAAATTTGGAGATCCGGGTAGCTCGACGTCTCGGTCTCGAAATTTGCGGAAAA